AATTCACTTCTTCCAGTTTACTGGGCGGGGGGACTGTCTGTGCTACATTAAAGAATACACTCCCCGCCTCCAAATATTTACACTGATATAAAGCCTCCAGCTTCTGTGTTGTGATCAGAATACATTTTATTAGACTTAGCACTGACATACTGCTCTACAGCACCATCTTGTACACATTTACTTAGGGATGAGTTCCACTGAATTCAATGAGGCTTCCTCCTAATTAAAGTTTCACAGGTTTCAAAGTCTTAAAAGTGATATTTGCCAACTAGGTGCCCTTGAGATTTGTCCGGACTGCAACATCCATCATCCTAGGGCCACTGGCTAGTTGGGACAGAGCGAATGAATCTCTACAGCTGGGGAAGGCTACCTTAGAAGGTTAAATCTATCATATTATATATCCATGCAGGTCTATCAATTTTTTTATTTAATACCTTTAAATTTTGATTTCTTTTAAAAGAGGAAGTGTCTATATAACATTTTGGGCAAGTGTAGATGATATTTGCAGACATGGCTACTCCTTCTGGAGCAGGGGAGAAATCCTCCCAAATTTCAAATGATTCCCTGCGGGCATGACTTGGGGAAATCCAGGGCTTTCTTGACCCAACTCGACAAAAATCCAGATGATCCCAAATCAGTCTGATTCAGTTCAGGCTTCAGCCAAATCTGGAGCACAACCCTACAAATTATGTGCATAATTATGAAGTGCAATAAATCCAAAAAGTGAGTCCTCTCCAGCATTCTGACAGAGAGAGAGAGAGAGAGTACACACACATACAAGAGGAAAACATGAACGAGCCTTTCAGCTTAGTTAAAATAGAAATTTAGATGGACTTTCACCTCATCTAGCAAGGGAATTTTGTATGGAAGAGTTACGTTACTGTAGTTCAATGATAACTCTACTGTTATCAAAGTGAAGAAGAATTGGTGTGTTTTCATTTAGAGTTTTCAGTCTACCTCAGAGTAATCTCTGGAAGTTTTATCTGCTCCAGAGCCAGAATAAGGAGGCATACAAACAACCCCATCACAAACTAGTCATAACAACATAATGATTCCAACTGCATTTATTAGATACTATATATATATATATATATATATATATATACCTCCCTTTTAACAAATAGTGAAAGCAGATATCAGCTACTCTTTTGTGCTGAGAAGAAAACGGCTACATATCCTGTTCCAAAGACATGAGTCACTCATTAGATTGTTGCAGAGGTCAGATCAATGAGTGACTAAGTATGCATTACCTCATTAGCCACTCTGGCCATCTGTCAGCTCAGGATCCCACCTCAGTTCCTAAATTCTGCCTGTTGATTTTTGAACCATAAGCTTTGGACCTGCATTGACTGTGGGGTTTAACAGTAGTTTGCTAATGAAGTGCGCTAATGATGTCATGTAGCCTGTAGACATATGTTGGCATCCCTCACCAGAGATGAAAGCCATAATGGTGAAGAATTTTCAGGCGCAAGGGAAGGGATCAATTACACATATAGTCACATGCACAAACCCCTATCTCAGTGGTGTCAAAATTTAGCATTTGAGACACAAGGAGATGCAAGCCCATTGGACAGGGAAGCAAGGTGTGCAGGCAAGAATGCGTTTCTCCCCTCTCATCTAAAGATCTGAGAGGACAATATAATCAAGAATATTATGTATAAGTGTATCCATTCATTTCTGTTTTTTTTTTCCTTTTCAAAGCTAAGCAACTGGCTTATAAGGCCTACTGGCAATAAGGAATCTATCATCATTTGGCATTGCTGATTAAGTTCTGTCTCTGACAATAATAAAAAAAGTATAAAAGTAAGGGGTCCGAGCATACAAAAATAGACTTGATTGTTGGACACACAGACCTACCACTGAAAACAGCAACAGCAGATCAAGTTCTCCCTCATCTCCCTATAACAAGCCAACATGTGTGTGTTATGGCATCATTACACAATGTTTTTCCCTGGCTGGGCCCACAGAGTGGCTAACAAAGGTGACGCCAGGAAATGTGTGGGGAAAACACTGACAATTATGCCTAAATTCTACTGCTAAGCCAGTAAGCAAAACCAGCAAATCAAATGGGGCTTGTTCATTTTGTCTAATTAAAAAAATCACACAACCCAACCAAGAACCAACCTCAGACATTTTGAAATTGTCTCTGGAGGTTCACGTTATGGCTACGTCTTTTTAAATGCTGGGGCTCATTGCTGTGCTCCTTTCCCCCAGGAAGCAACAAGGGCTCCTACTTTTGTATCCGAGGAGCTATATCCTGGGAGAGAAAATTATGCATCCCCTCCAACTTCTGTTCCCCAGCTACAGCCCCACCAAAATGGCCTCTTTGTGTTCCCCCTCCTCATCCACCTGAGTGCCACTCCACTCCTGAGCCCAGTAAAGCCTTCAGCTTGTATCAGCTTCTCTGAACCTGGGCCCCTGCAGATGTTTTTGGATCTGAATTCCCACCACTCTTGACTACTGGCCATTCTGGTTGGGGCTGAGGGAAGCTGCCACCCTATACATCTGCAGTTTGCGGAAGACTGGCTTCTGCAGCACACTGTCCAACTTTTCCAGGTCAAAAACTGGGACCCACGTCTTTCAGGATGCATTCCCAGGTGTGTCATGTGCCTCACGTTACCATCTCACCCCAAAAAAAGCACTTGGGGGGGGGAGTGTGATCACAGTTTTTTTCAGAGTGAGAACATGTCAGATTGTGACACCTAAAATGGCCGCCACAATCTCATGTGAAAAAACAGAGTGTCCCATCCCCCCCCCCCCCGGGACACTTGGTGGGTACGATACAGCTGATAGTATGGAGTTGCGCAGTGGGCCGTTTTGTGCAGTGTTGCCTTGCATCTTGTCTCATAGCCCATGATGGCAAACTATGTGGATTTGTGCTGATTTGGTTTATATCAGTAGCAATAAGATGAAATTGGCTTTAGTCCCCAGCCTTGTGGCTTACTATGGATGGGTGAGCCTGATTATCCCGCCACTATGTCATGTTTTACCTAAATGTTTTCTGTTCAGGCTCTCGCTGGCAGCTAATGACATTCTCTGCGTCGTTCCTAACTTTGATGAGCCCTTTAAAATGTAAAAGACATTGTTCATTACTGACATCTCTGGGCTGTGGGATGAATTTCGTCTCCCAGGGATATTGCTTGTTCTGTTCGCTGGTTTGACAGAACGCTCCCACGCAATATAAAATAACACTTTGCTTCCGCAGAATAATAAACAGTAATTTGGAATATCAGCTCCACGCTTCACGGCTCACAAAGCAATATGACGTTGTCCGCAGGCCTAAAAAGTGGCTTTTCATTTTATTCAGTAATTAATCGCAGCACAAAAGAGGACATTTGTTGCAGATAATATCTTATAGTAATAAAAATGCTGTCAATAATGGAGAGGGGGGAAATATCTGGAATGTATTTGTCAAATATGCTCCTGAGGAAATTGCAATGATAATAATAAGAAAAACTTCTGCTCTAAGCAAAATGAGATACAAGCCTAACAAATAAATAAATACTTAGGATACAATCTAGTCCCACTTTGGGTGCAGTGCCTACATCTAGACTATTTCCATAGGCTAAATAAATACAGGAACCCCCAAGTCACATCAGGACTATACATTTAAACCAGCATCATACCATTTTAAACAGTCACGGCTTCCTATAAAGAATTATGGGAGTTGTTTTCAGCTAAGAGTTCTGAGAGTTGCTAGAAGCCCCTATCCCTTTCACAGAGCTACAGTTCTCACAGTAGTTTAACAATCATCCCATCTTCACAGGGAACCCTGAGAATTGCAGCTTTGTGAGGGAAATAGGGGTCTCTTCACAACTCCCAGAACCCTCAACAAACTTGGCGATTCTTGGGGAAAGCCATGGTTATTAAAAGCAGTCTCATAGTACTTTAAATGCATGATGTGAATGAGGCCTTATAGTACACAAGGGCAACATACCCCACAAGTGTCCCAGATAAAATGAGACTTCCCATTTTCTTGTGCGATAGCGTGGCAGCCATTTTGGTTGCCATGATTTGGCAACAAGATTTCGCCCCCCAAAAGCCGTGATCTTGTACAGTACCTCAAAATGCATGTTTTTGACCCACTTATGCCTTTCCCCTCCTACATAGGGCAAGTTTCATGGGTGTACAAGTTGACAGCTTTTTTTCTGAATTTCAGCAGTTTTTGAAGGAGGGAACATCCCCAGCCCTACCTACAAACTGAACCTAGGACTTCCCCTACAGAGCCATGGGAATTGTAGTTTGGTGAGATCTGTGTTGACCCAGTGTGCCATGAAAAAGACAAATTCCATGCTAGGGATCATTAGGAAAGGAATTGAAAATAAAGCTGCCAGTATCATAATGCCATTATACAGATATCTGGAGTGCAGAATAGGAGAGAGGAGGAGGTATGGAAATAAAGGTGGTCTGTGTGCAAGGGAGAGTGGAAAAAAAGATGGAGGAGGAAAGAAAAAGGGAATGGGGGTGGATAAGGGTATGCAGGGCTTTTTTCCCAGCCAGAACTCACTGGAACTCAGTTCCAGCACCTCTCAGGTGGGTTCTGGCACCTCTCAGGTGGGTGCCATTGCCATTCTACGAGAACAAGGTGAATTCCAGCACCTCTTTTTCTAGAAAAATAACACTGAAGATATGTGTGTATACAAAGGTGACTGCAGAAGAGGTGAGAGGATAAGGCATGGAAATGGGGTAATCTGTGTGCAAGGAAGAGTGGAGAAAAGTAAGGACAGTGGAGGAAGAAAAAGAGAGGAAAGGTAAAAATGGAGGTGCCAAAAAGGAGGGAGCAGGTGGCATGGGAATGGGGTTGAACATGAAAGCAGGTGTCTGAAGAGCGGATGGTGGCTTAGTAGTTGCCAAGTGTGGGCAAGGAAGATGCAGGGGGGTTGCCATGTGGGTGCTTTGTGCGCAAGGGAATTCGGCCAGAAGGATTACAGAATTGCAGAGTTGGAAAGGGGCCCCGAGGATCATCTAGTCCAACCCGCTGCAATGCAGGAGTATGCAGCTGCCCCATACAGGGATCGAACCTGCAACCTTGGCGTTATCAGCACCACGCTCTAACCAACTGAGCTATCCAGGTTGCTGTGTTGCGCAAAAGGAGGCGTGGGGAGAGGCATGGACACAGTGTAAAGGTGAAAGCAGGGGTGCAAAGCATAGTAAAGAGGTGGCTTCAGGTACCGGGTTCGAAAAGCAAGCTTACTAGTTCCATGGGGTGGGAAGGGGAAACTCTAGGGGTTTAATGTGGGGGGAATGCTGCGGGTTGGTGAGTGGAGAGAGCAGCAGCAAAGCTCCATGTATTATATTGTAGCCGGTACATGGATATATTAGAATAAGCTTCAAGTTTGGGGGCGGGCGACAGCAACCAAACACCCATCTGCAATCCAAATGTTATTTATATTGATGATTGGTTGTTGACTTCCATGTCAGTTTCTTAATAGTAAGTCTGCCAAGAGTTTCGAGAAGCAATTAAAAGGCCCATATAATGTTGAAGCCCTTGATAAATGCAATAAACAAATGACATATTCAAAGGGTGGAATCAGTGTCCCATTAGAACCGGAGGAGAAATATGAGAGAGACATATGGCAGTATAATTAGCATGATTAGAGAGACACAGGAGAGAAGAGTTTATGCCACAGGGAGCATGTAAGAAGAAACCAAGATATCTAGTTCACTGCTAAGAAAACTATAAAACCACACTTAAAAAAAAAGAGGGCAAAAAAATTGAAAATGCACCAACCAGCCCAGTGAAACACTTCGAAGTTCCATTGATTTCAGTGGGAGAGACTTAAGCAGATACTTAACGTTCCATGGAAACAATGGAAACATATTTCCTAAATCTCTACTGCAGCCCTTACCCCATCCATCCTTAATATGTGCTGAGCCCAACCATTTCTTCCAAGAGCTCTGTGTGACCAGGAACCCTGAGTATGTATGCTGCCAGTTGTGTGATCAGCTCACATGAACACAGCTGTATGCACATAGGCTTTCTTTGCAGTTGTCATCGCTGAATGCATAGAGGTTGGGAAGCAGGGCCAGGAGGTGCACAGATGTCTGTTTCAAACCAGCAGAAGAAAGGTGAGACATCAACAGCCCCTCTCTCCATCAGTCTGTCTGGAATAAGTTGCCTCCTCCCCTCCCAGAAATTACTCCACCAGCAACCAATGTGTCTTCATCAGGGCGGTTCAGATGAAACACACACACACACACACACAGTGTTCAAACGTGACTCTGAACAGATGTGTTTCACTCCTATCTTATTAATCTCTTATCTCTTATCACTTAGCAATCTCTTACCTATCCCTAAATTCTCTCTAATCAGTCTCTTATCTCCGATCTCTTATCAATCTTGTATCTCCTATCAATCTCCTATCTCTTATCTAAACTCTTATCACTCTATTATCTAGGGTTGCCACACGTCCAGAATTTCTCATACATAGCCAGAATACCGCAGGAGGGAGCAGTGTCTGGGTGGAAATTGCTAAAAATGTCTGGGGAAATCCGGACATGTTGGCAGTGTCATTTTTGGTGACTTCTCTTAAAAATAGCTGGAAAACTTCATTTTTTTGCTCAACAACTTTGGCTAAAAACAAAAGGAAACTCAACAACTTTTGTGTCTAAATTTTCAGTTTTTGAAATATGTATATCCTAACTCTTTTCTCTCATCAATCTGTTACCTCTTAACAACCTTTAATCTTATCCCTTAACAATCACTAATCTTATCTCTTATCTCTTATCAATCTACCATCTCTTATCTATCTCTTATCTCTTATCAAAGACAGCTGGAGACCCAAGTTTGGGAATCCCTGCTCTACTGCATCTAGCTAGTAACCATAGATAGCCCTCTCCTCCTCAAATTTGTCTAATCCCCTTTTAAAGCCCTCTAAGGTTAGTAGCTAGGGACGCGGGTGGCGCTGTGGGTTAAACCACAGAGCCTAGGACTTGCCAATCAGAAGGTCAGCAGTTCGAATCCCCGCGACGGGGTCCCTGCTCCTGTCAACCTAGCAGTTTGAAAGCACATCGAAGTGCAAGTAGATAAATAGGTACCACTCCGGCAGGAAGGTAAATGGCGTTTCCGTGCACTGCTCTGGTTGGCCAAAGGCAGCTTAGTCATGCTGGCCACATGACCCGGAAGCTGTACACCGGCTCCCTCGGCCAATAATGGGTCCCTTTACCTTTACCTAAGGTTAGCAGCTATCACTTCCATATGTGCTGCGTGAATATGTCCTTCATCTGTCCTGAGACTTCCAGCATTCAGCTTCATGAGGCCTGTGCTTCAACTCCTCTGTCAGAGGCAGTCTGTCTCTGAATGCCAGCTGCTGGGAAGCACAAGTAGGGAAAGTGCTGCTGTGGACAGATCCTGCTTCCATATTCCCCATAAGATATCAGCTTGGCCCGTGTGAGAACAGAATGCTGGACTAGATGGGCCACTGGCCTGATCCAGCAGACAGGCTCTTTTAGTGTTCCTTTGTGGATGGTCCTGGACCGTGGCTGCTGATGCTTCATTTTCTTCAGAACGAAAAGGTTGAGAAGCTGTCCAGGAAATAGCCCTTTATGGAGGACAGATGGACCAGGTACTGTGTTGAGAGTCAGTGTGGTATAATGGTGAGAGAGTCAGACTAGAACTTGGGTCGACCAGGGTTCAAATCCCCACTCAGCCAGAAAGCTCACAGATGATTTGTTAATTATTTTTATTTGATTTATGCTGCATTTATGCGATGTTCTATTATGTTACTGTTATTTGTTGTTTGCAAGCCGCTTTGAGATTCATCGGAATGAAAAACGGCATAGAAATACAATAACTCAAACCAAATCGCTTGGTGTGGCCTTGGGCCAGTCACTGCCTCTCAGCATAATCTACCTCACAAGGTTGTGGGGATTAAAGGAGGAGCAGAAAAACTATGTGCACCACGGTGAGCTTCTTGGAGAGAAGGTGTGATATAAATGCAATAAATAAATAACAAATATTTGGGCGTGGCCACTTATGGAACCCCCAAATTCAATGGCAATGGAATATGTACCTCTCCATTTCCCCTCAAAAAACAATGCCAAATGTCTCAATGCCTACAAGATCAGAAAAGCGGCAACAAAAGCATCCCATTATTAATAAGCCACAGATCAATAAAAACAGCATGAAAACAGTGAGGCAAAACACATAACCTAAAAGCGTATTCATAAAGGCCCAATCCATAATAGTATCCTCAAACAGGAGACCACTAACATTGTTGCCAGACATGATTCAAATGGAAGACTGTGGCAGATTAAGCCCTGTGGAGGCCCCAGGTAGTCGAAATCTCAGGTGGCCCCCTGTGAGACACCCTAGTGGGCTAATATTGGCCTAAGAAGGCTTGGTTGTAATTTTCTTTCAAGATCAAATCAATATTATTTTGATTGGTTGTCATGGGGCCCTTAAAAGGCATGCTCTGCCTATTTAGCACAGTTTTGTAGCATTCGAATTTATAATATTTACAGCTGATCTTCTAGACTGCAGCTCACATTCAGAAATTAAGCAACGGCAGCACTAAAGGACTCGACATGTTTGCAGACGACATATTTGAAGTCATTAAAAACAAATGCAAGGGGGAAATGGCTAGAAAAGAAATGGAAGAAACCGTTAACTTCAGTTATGAAGTACCACAAGGCAGATTCTGCAAATTGCTGTAAATTCCACCACGAAATCCTCCTGCTGTTGGGTACTGAGGTGAAGACAGGTTTGGGTCAGGAAGACAAGCAATAGAGTTCCACGTTAAGTACAGAAAGTTTAGCAGTTCAGTTATTGACAATAAGGGCTTTCCCACAGATGCTCGGAGCCAGTTAGGGGCTCCACTCCTCATCTCTTTCATTGACTCCTTCATCCTCCTCTGGGAAGGCCACGTCATTCTGGTTTTTTAGATGCTTAATCCCTGTAAATATAAAAGAACCACATTTAAGGCCACATGCAGTCAAATCTAAAATCTTGCCTGTTGTGCTGAAGGAAGAAATCAATCAGTGACAATGTTGCTGTTTTATTAACAACTGTTAAGGGTGGCAGCTTACAATAACATGAACAGTGGGTTTCCATTACATCGGCAAAATAAGGGTCAAACGAAATATGTTGCTCACCAACCTTGCCCACCCCACACACCCTTGCCAAACCCCCATTCTTTACACCCCATGCAAACCCCCCAACACTCATTCCATCCCATGAGGGTGAAAGCCTTTCTCCTCCTGATTCCCCTTTCCTCTGCTACTGGCAAAGGGATATATGAGATTGCAGGGAGCTGTGAAGGGATGGGGGCAGTTTGGGGTGAATTGTGGGCAGTGGAGACCATGGTGATGGGGAGTGCATGAACACCTGCAGGTCTGCCTGGGCCAGCAGCCTTGGGCCTCCTGCCTGTTTGAATCCCAGGTTTCCCTGTTGTGCACACATGCAAACAGGCAGGCAGCTGGTGGCAGTGGTGACACAGAACATGTGAATGCTGCCTGGGCCACACAGCTGCCCACTTGCTTGCTCTGCCCACATGTGATGCTGGCCTGCCTGCTTTTATTGCTCCTTCCAACCATGATTTTTGTTTAGAGGGGGAGTTGTTGAGCTTAATTTTTTTTGGGGGGGGAGAGGACATTATGGGGGGAAGGCTTTTGTTGTGGGGGGAGGCTTCTGCTGGGGGAGGCAGAACCTCAGTTAATTGGCCCATCACCTCCTGGCAAATAGAAGGGGAAGAAATGGAGGCAGTGAGAGATTTTACTTTCTTGGGCTCCATGATCATTGCAGATGGTGACAGCAGTCACGAAATTAAAAGACACCTGCTTCTTGGGAGAAAAGCAATGACAAACCTAGACAGCATCTTAAAAAGCAGAGACATCACCTTGCCAACAAAGGTCCGTATACTTAAAGCTATGGTTTTCCCAGTAGTGATGTATGGAAGTGAGAGCTGGACCATAAAGAAGGCTGATTGCCGAAGAATTGATGCTTTTGAATTATGGTGCTGGAGGAGACTCTTGAGAGTCCCACGGACTGCAAGAAGATCAAACCTATCCATTCTTAAGGAAATCAGCCCTGAGTGCTTACTGGAAGGACAGATCGTGAAGCTGAGGCTTCAATACTTTGGCCACCTCATGAGAAGAGAAGACTCCCTGGAAAAGACCCTGATGTTGGGAAAGATGGAGGGCACAAGGAGAAGGGGACGACAGAGGACGAGATGGTTGGACAGTGTTCTCAAAGCTACCAACATGAGTTTGACCAAGCTGCGGGAGGCAGTGGAAGACAGGAGTGCCTGGCGTGCTCTGGTCCATGGGGTCACGAAGAGTTGGACACGACTAAACAACTAAACGTCTAAACAACAACAACAACAATGCTTTTCAATACTTTTTGAGGATTTGGAGAGCAACTGCCCCCCCCCTTGGCAATGCCCATGCTTCCACCTGTTGCTGTCATGCTGCAGTTTGCATGGCTGCCTATATCGAAAGCTACACACACACAGATATGGGTTACATGATATCATTCTATTCCTGCGTCGCCTCCACCCTCCCATTCATTTCCCTGCTATAATTTGAAATGGTCCGAGGGTTGCTGGCTCCGAGGGTGTTGTGTTCTGCTCACACCCTTTGTCTGCTTTCAAGTCACTCTCTTCATGCTTGGCTACACCTTTTGTGTTCAACTAAGCTTGCCTTCCTCATTACTGAGTTGAGATCTCTATGCCCAGGCTGAGTCCCCCCTCTGAATCTCTGCTTTTGTCTGCCGGTGTTTCTCCTCTCTTGCCATCTGTCTGATAGTAAGGCTCATCTATTTCTCCTCACAATGTAGCAGTGATTTCCCTGGGTCTGTATTTCTTTCTTTACCCAACAGAAATCAGTTTGTACCCTTCAGTTCACCTGCTCCAGAGTTGCCTTCCGTCCCTTGATGTCACAATGCGAGGAAACATGCATGCATATCTGACTCTTATTTTTGTCTTCCTTCTAAAGTTTGCTGTTTTCTCCTTTCTCCTTTCCCTCAAAGGCTCTGATTTCACTGCAGGTAATTTAATTCAATTAATGTTGACGAAGAAAGCCTGAATGCCAAGCCATTTTCAGTAAGCATGTACTAATACGCTTTGAACTGGTAATGCATTTTAGATTAAATCATCGCCTCAAAGCTTATTTGCAGATTCAGGATAAATTATCTGTGCAAATGAGGCAACTTTCTGACATTTCCACAGTCACATCATGAAAATCTCCTGTGGGGAAATGAAAACTTGACATCTGGTTTAATCCATCCAAGCAAAGTAGAAGAAATTTGAAAGCAGATACGTATTCAACAAGGTTCCTCAACTTTGCAAAATACTTGTGGGGGATTCAAACATTTAACATGCATCCATGTCATGGGTCAATTTAACAAATTCAAGTTGTCCATTTAGAATAATAGAATTGCAGAGTTGGCAGGGACTTCAAAAAGACCATCTGCTCCAACTCTAATGATGCAGGAAATCCAGTTCTGCAATATCCCTGATAGGTTGCTATCCATTTAATGTACTCTAAAGAATACGTCCACCTTCTTCTAAGCTTGTATCACTAAGGAAATCTTCCTTCTGTTTAGTCAAAATCCCTCTTTTTGTCATTTGAACCCATTGGTTCAGGCCCTGCATCAGAAGACAAATTATCTCCATTATCTCTGTGATAAGTCTTTCACCTATGTGAAGATGGCTACAGTACTGCATCTATTCTGCAGGCTAAATGTACCCAACTCCTTCAACCTTTCCTCATGAATTTAGTTTTCAAGCCCTTCACCTTCTTTACTGACCTCCTCCGGACACTGTCCATACGATACACCTCTTGTTAGATGCAGACAATCTGATCTAAAGATTTATTATTGGTTGAAGGAGTTCTAATACACATATGGAGCTACCCTGCTTATCATTCATTTCAATGGAGGAAGTGTGTGCATTGCATTGCATTGCATTGCATATGGGGGTCTACTCCCTCCATCAAAATGAATGGGACAAGCCACACCTACAAGAGCACATAGAAAGCTCTAAGTTGTGATATATATATAATGCTTAAGGTCGTGGCTAAAGTTAACTCGGATTCTGCCTTATTGTAGATGTTGCATTTCCTTTGAATGATGCAGTTTCTAGAGCAGGTGTAGATAAAGGTGAGTGGGTACTGGTGATGAGAGATATGTTCCTGCCCTTTTGGTCTATGAGCTGATTTTCAAAATCGCAAGAATCCCACTGATCCTGGGATTGCACAACACCAACATGAACCCGGGCGATTTCATGCTCTCCACATTTCAAAAGCTTTCCACATCTAGAATCCTAGTTAATTGGTGGTGAGACTACAGCTGATGCATGAGTATGTAAACACTGTGGATGGGGCACAGCCATCCTAAGAGATTGAACTGTACTTGTGCTATATTTATACGTTATGCATATAAAGGTACCATTCAACTGGTAAATTGGAGCAAGCTTCTGATGCTGGTGCCTCATAGACAACCCAAGGCTGCTGGCTGAAAGCCAATGGGACATGCCTCTCGTTCCCCCAAGTTAGCAAAACCTGAGGCAGGGACCCTCACAGGTGTTGTTCCCTAAACCTGACTCACCAGAGGAATTGAGTGGTTTCCATGCTACTGCACCTGCCCAATAGTAAAGGAAGCGTGACAAGCAGGATTCCACAGAAAAACAAGGAAGTGCTTTTTTGTGCAGGTCATGGGGCTGGCCCTCACCTTCAGGCCAAGGGGTTCAAGCCTGGGAAAATGGACAGGAGGAAGAGGCTTATGAGACAGCAATTCACCTACAGCCTTTGTTCACTTGGAGCTATCCATGGTGCTGTAAAACCGCTGAACTGGCTTGCCCCCTCATGAGTACCTGGTGCAGATAAGGCGAGACCAGTACCCTCCAGGGACAACCCTGATTTAGAGAAGCCGTCCCAGTTTCTGATTTGATCCCAGAATGTCCCGCTTTGCCTTACAATGTCTCCATTTTCATTGGAGAAATGTTGGAGGATATGGAGTTATCCGACCCCCGAGCCGTCTGAAGGCAATCCTGTATAGGGAAGCTTTTGTAATGTTTAATGTTTTATTGTGTTTTTATATATGTTGGAAGCTGTCCAGAGTGCTGGGGCAACCCAATAAGATGTGTGGGGTGTAATTATCACGATGGAATGGGACGTCCCTGTTTTCATTGGAGAAATGACATACAAATGTCAAAGAGGTCCATCTATCCAGATTCATGTCCTATTTATGCTTCTTCGTTCAGATACTATTATTGGATGCACATTCCCAGCTCTGTACAGAGAGAGGGACATCTCCATCTGCTTATGGGAATGTTATATCTATGCTTATGCACACAATGGAAAAAACATAGCCTGGGACATTGGCCCTGATTAATCAAATCTCCTTAGATAAAGCATTTTAAAATTTCAACCTTGCTATATTAAGGTTTGCCATGAAATAGTTTAAAGGGTCAGACAGTGCCGGGTCAGTAAGTCAAGCAAGAGAAAGGAAAATGTTGATCTCTCAAGGGTCTATTTTTATCCGTTTCTTGATTTCTTCTTAAAATAATCATCCTTGTCTATATGTGCAACTTATTCTAGGAGGGCCAAGTTTCTGCAGCAGGCTAGGTGGGTGGTAGGTTTCTGCATTACTGCTTATGTTTGAGCAAAACTGATCAGTGTTTATATCTGTCGTTCTTCCAGATTTGCATTGCTTAGTTTAATATGTATATATATTATTACAAATAAAGGTAATATACATATTAGATGATACTGAAAGAGTCTTAAGCAGCTTTTAAAAAGACCTATGTATTTTCTTATCTATTTGTAATTGCACTTTTGAAACAAAAGAACGGGAACCCAGAAAAAAGCCCAAATTTAGCATTTGAAACTCTCGGTTGTTTAGGTTACCTGGGGAACTTTGAGCTCATTTGGGTGTATCAGTTTCTTGTTATCAGAATGAGCTTAACTGATAATTGGGTTCGTGCTTTCTCCCTCCTTCAGTGTTGATGTTGTTCACTGTTTCCTCCAAACCCAAACAAATTAAGCTACAGTTCAAGAGAGCAAGCCAACTTCAAACCTTGGTATATGAAGCTGGTTTGTTTTAACTAGACATAGTTATGTTTAGCCACAGTTTAGGGTTTGGATGTAAAGCTAAACTGTGGTTAATCAAATACAGAAGCAAAAGCTCATGGCTGCTCTGGAGGAGTGGGAGGGAGGGAGAAGTGTGTGAGGTCAAGGTTTGACCAGGCTTGTTTAACAATAAACCCTACATCAGAAGGCAGTCTGTGCACAACCCCTTTGACTTCATAGAGAGAAAAGGCAAGAAATAAATTAGCAGCAATGAACTAATCACTGCCCTCCAATTTTCCTACTTTCCTACTGAAAGCACAGATACGGAGTTACAACTCAGAGTCAATAAGCCACTGTTTACACTGTCACCGCTCATCAGCCATGAAAACAGTAAAAGGCTGTGTTCAAAATAGTTGGCTGCTTTCCAGTTTATTATTTCATATCACACGACTTCCATTCCCTTTTCCCTTTCCCACATTTAAAAGGTGCAAACAACAGCATTGGCTCAAGATCAGTGCAGAGAGATGTTTCCTCCACACAACTGTGCTGTCACATCACTGCCTCCCCCCACCCTGACTGAACAAAGCATGCTTTCAATGGGAGGCTGATTTCGCTAGTGTAGAATCGCACCCTGTAGAAATCTTATGCTGACAGCATCCCCCCAAAATGTAAGCAGCTTTTGTAGTTCCAGGCAAGCCTCACTAGCATGTAAACATTTCAGATTTGCTGATTCCTTAAGTCTCTCCCTAGTCTCCGACTAGAACTTGTTAGCCAAATCAAAAGACTTCAGATGAAGAGCAGAAGCCCCTAGAGGTCAATTCGACGACCACAGTTTCGGTCTCCAATCATCACAGTTTATCTTCTTCTTTTGTAAAATAGCAAAATAATAAAATAAAATAATGGTTTATATACTGAAAGGAAGGTGGTGTTTCTGAAGGGATGTTTCAGGTTCTGCAAAAGCTTTGGGTGGGCTTCTCTTAGTAAGGGAAGGGAGAGGGAGAGAAAACCTAGTTTATATGTAATTAAGTTTGGCACAGTTGCGTCAGGGACTGGCTGGATGTGAAAGAATGGTGGGAGCCACCCACCCAAGAACCCACCGTGGAGGACACAGAAGATGACGACTTAGATCCCAGATCATGGTGGTGGTGGTGGGATGCTGAAGAGCAGTCTGGGGAAGGAATGAGCTGGGAGGCGCTAGAAACAGGGGATTCGAGGAATCAAGGTGGGGATCAGGAGAAGGAACGCCTTCCAGGACAGGTTAGAGGCTGAGAGTCACAGTGGGAGTGCAGACTCAGACACAGAGGAGTTAGAGGTTGCCTTTTCTACCCAGCAGCAGGGAAGTCTCGGTCCTGCTGGCTCTCCTCCCCCTCTTACACCCCGCTCGAGGAGAGTCCTGTACGTAGCTGAGCAATAGGGCAGGCAGGTCCAGAGGAGGAGGAGACCACCCCCTCAATGCAGGCTTTGTCTGCTTTGGGAGGGATCCAGAGCGAGAGGCTAGAGGGGGAAGGGCGGGGCTAGTGGTCAGTTTCAGCAATGTCTTAGCTGGTTTAAGATGAACCAGAGGACTGTGGCGATCACACAGGGTCCCCAGACGTTTCACCGTCTATTGATCTCTATGCCACCACTTTATTTCTCACTGCCACCACCCAGGCCCTACCTGGGAAATTCCTGAGTCCAGTCAGGGTTAAATTGGAACATAAACTTCTGTGTATTTATTGCAGTTTAACAAGTGTGTGGTTTCATAAACAGTCTCAGTCAATTACAATCATGGGGTGCCTATCCAGACCTATAACTTCCGCTACTTCACTCACTAAACCACCTCTCAGGTATTTACTTGTCTTCCTAGTTCCTAACTGTTCCTGACTCAGCTTATTTCACTACACTAACTCAACCTACCCACAGACTCTATCCCAATTCACTCCCGCTCCAACCAACCAACCAACCAACCAACTCCCAACGAACTCTCCCTCATCCCCTCCCAGAGTTGGTTTTATAGTCCCTCTGACTCCACCCCCTGGGTTCTGATTGGGTAACCTGTTTAACTATTTCGCCTCCAGCACTCTCATATGTTAACATCACAAACTCAAAGCTAATTGCATTCTATGCCTCCTGTGTTTCCCTGTCCTGTGGTTCACATGTTGTCACATAAGAACGTAAGGAGCTGCCCAATAGCTCCTTCAGGCTATCTGGTCAATCTATTCCAGGACTGTTTATTCTGACTGGCTGTAGCTCTCCGGAATCCACAACTATCATACTAACAATGTAATAATAATTTTATTATTTATATGCTGCCCATCTGACTGGGTTGTCCCAGTCACTCTGGGTGGCTCCCACCAAAATATAAAAAACACATGGCTTGCTTCAACCTGAAGAGTGGAAGGGGATAGTTTACTGCCTACCAGAAGATGAGTGCAACGACAAACTTCTTCTGCAACTGTTGAGGTGGAAAAGAAAGAGATGAGAAAAGGGCTGAGGAAAAACGAAGGTACTAAAAAATAACTAATGTTGTGATCCTATTGACCCTGGGAGGGCATCCTAGAACCATAAAGGTAAAGGGACCCTGACCATTAGGTCCAGTCGCGGACGACTCTGGGGTTGCAGCACTCATCTCGCTTTATTGGCCGAGGGAGCCAGCATACAGCTTCCGGGTCATGTGGCCAGCATGACTAAGCCGCTTCTGGTGAACCAGACCAGCGCACGGAAACACCATTTACCTTCCCGCTGGAGTGGTACCTATTTATCTACTTGCACTTTGAGGTGCTTTCGAACTGCTAGGTTGGCAGGAGCAGGGACCGAGCAATGGGAGCTCACCCCGTCACAGGGATTCGAACCGCCGACCTTCTGATTGGCAAGTCCTAGGCTCTGTGGTTTAACCCACAGTGCCACCAGATCAGGAGAGAGAACACGCCAAACTTGGGAGATCTGATGTTGCAATACCCCTCCTTGCCACCATGGGAATGTCTAGGTTCCTGGCCCTATGGATCTTGGAGCCCCAATGTTTGTAAAGTAAAAGAGGGCGTATGCTGGTGTCTATTGGAAAAGGACCAGAAAAAAGGTTGGAGTCAAAGAATTCAATGACTCGGGAGAATCACACCCTAAATATGGTTTGCAGGTGAATGAAGAGAGTTGAATGCAGAAAAATAACACTGTTTCGTAGATTTGTTTGTTCCCTTAAAAGGTACCAGGGGAATCAAATGATATAAATCAAGGCTGACAGATCTCAGAAATCACCCCACGAGTGCAGTAAAACAACCCTCTGCCTTTCTTACCAGCCTGCCAAAAATAACAGCCACCATTGTTCTCTTTTATTTCTCCCTATAAAGCGTCCTTCCCGAAGATATATTTGCAGAGCCACTTGCAATAAACAGCAATGTCAAAAAATAAATGTATACAGTCAACATAAATAAAGTGAGGATCATTCCATTCCCGTGGTGGAAACCAAATATTTATCTCAACCCATGCTTGTATATCTGCCTGGGTTTTGGGTGGGAAGGGAGGCATGAAAAAAATCCCACGTACATTTATGGAAGAGGACATATTTTAAAAACATGGGATTTGGGGTTTTGCTATGTTTGTACTCAACACAATAGGGCAACAGAGGGTGAGTAAATTAATTCCCATGTGAGCCAGAGGAGGAAATGTCATGGAAATCTCTCTCTCTCTCTGTGTGTGTGTGTGTGTGTGTCCATGCTCATGGGGGACATTTCTGTCTGGACAATTCAATGAATACTGTAACATGCAGGGAACCCTGGACAACAAGCCAGAAGCTGCCCTGATTTATCCCACATACACGTCATAAATTGCAAAGGTGTCGAGTCCATGGCAAATCATATCTTGGGTGGGGTTTTTCCCCCCATATCTTTTTTATTAAATCTTTTTAATGATGCAACAAGATAAAAAAACTAATCTGTATAAAAACAAAAGAAGAAAAACCCACACAGAGAGAAAGGGGATGATGACCCTTCTGTTGTGCTAGTGTGTACCCTGTGCTTTTCTTGTGGAGACCATTTTTTAATTTTTGAGGGGTGGGGCAAAGTGTCTCTTAAGTGCAGTGGAAGCTCTTTTTTAAAGTTTTATATTTATATTTTTCAAATTTATACATTTCATGAATTTTGCAATCCCTTTAACATTTCAAAATCTGACTTCCTTCCCCCTCGTTCGGCGGTTCCCTAAATTTATTTTTTCATATCTTCTGCATATCCAAATTCATTTACCTTACTCGTTTAATTATCTACTGTAAATGTATACTCTTATAAAACTGCAGGTTACTGCAACAATCCTGCTAATGTTTTTATGTGTTTACAATTTATCTGTAGATATTCGATAAACCATTTCCGTTCTTTTATAAAGAGTTTGTTATCTTGATTTCTCATTCTTCCAGTAAGTTTTGCCATTTCTGCATATTCCATAAGTTTTTGTATCCATTCTTCCTTTACTTGGGACTTTGCTTCTTTCCATTTTGGGGCAAGTTCAGCGGAAGTTCGACTTGTGTTATCTTTAGTTAATTTTTTAAAATGTCCACAGGCACATGTCGCTCACATTTAAAGCAGATCTGATGAAAGATCCATCAGTCAACAAAGGTTTGGGTTCTTTTTGTGAGGGGGGGAGCAGGGAGAAGAGCAGAAATCATACTTCCTGTGTAGTATACTTCAATGTAGCATACTTGGGATACGGGCTGTGATCTTAAACCTCGCATAAGCAGAAAGCAAATTCACATGAGCTCTCTGTTGCTGCCATGTCGCTTCCACATGGCCACTCTGCTACTGAGCTGAGCAGCACTATAGAGCACTGGGCTTGCAGGAGGAGTGGCAGATTAAATTAATGGACTATGCCGAAATGGGAAAACTTACTGGAACAATAAAAAGCCAAGAGGAAAAACACTTTATTAAAGAATGGAGGAACATATGTGGAAAATCTGAAAAGTTCTTGTCCATGTGTAAGTTCGTTAGCAGGATTAACTTAAAACCAAGCAGTTACAATTAATGTTAAAAGAAAACCAGGGAGTAATTAATAATTGGAATAATGAGGGAAATGCAGTGCTAAGAATTAAAAAATATAAGAAACCACAAAAGTGGTGTGGTGGGGAAGTCTAAATATATATGTTTGTTGGGAAAATATTGGATTTGTATGTTTTTAAAAAGAATAAGAAACTGAAAATTTATATATATATATAGTCAAAGCTCTCATGTTTGTCTCTTTCTCTAGTCCATTGGGCTATCAAGAGGCAGGAACTGGAAGTGCAAAAACACACCCTTCAGATCCACTAGAGGGAGCCTTGTTACTAATAACAAGTTGCTTCAAAACCAAGCAGCAGGAATCCATTTTAAGAGTACTTGAGTGCTGTCATATTGATAGCAATGAAACAGAAAGTAATCTTGAAGCCTGAGCTCCTATATTTAACAAAACATTTTATCAGCTGTGTAAGTATTCTCTCTGCTCAGAGTACATCCACACAGAGCATAGAACTGGGGCAACTGTTGAATTTCCTACACCTAATAAGCAATCGGTGAAAACGCCGCATATTGATAAAAACAGTAACTTTTCAGTGGACATTAAACAGCAGCTGATAAACCTTTCAGTTACTTCAGACTTTCCCACCCACTATTTTAAACACAAAGTTTATCGCTGGCTTTATTTTGTCAGTTTAAATCAGCAATCCAGTTCAAACCCAACAGAATGAATTCAATCCAAAGATCTCATTCCACTCACGGAGGTGTCCCTCCGTTCAGGAAGAGAAATGATTAAATTCAATTCAGTGTATGTTATCTCTGCAATATCCCCCGAGTTAGCTTTAATCCACAGATTTGTGAATTTTTGTATCTACTGCTAGAATTACACCCGGTTCTTTATCAATTCAGGAACACACTGCCAAGGTGACCTCTGCTTCTGAAGGGAATCCTTTTGTTATCTGATGATGGCTGTAACTGACGCAAATTATTTCCTGGTTGAACAGAAGGCAACATGTTTGGGATTGTGCAAGCATCCTGCTAACCTAAGCCCATTGGCCCATCTAACTCATTATTGTCTACACTGACTGGCAGAAGCTCTTCAGAGTTTCAGACAAGAACTATTCTCAGCCCTACCTAGAGAGACAATGGATTGAACCTGGTGCTGCAAAGTATGGGCTCAACCATAGAGTTATTTCCCTTGCTTTCTTTGAAGTAAAACCAGGGTGCAATTAAGGGACAGGTAAGGATTGTTCCTGTTTTCTAAAGCATAATGTCACAAGGTAAAGGTAAAGGGACCCTTGACCATTAGGTCCAGTCGTGGCCAACTCTGGGGTTGCAGCGCTCATCTTGCTTTACTGGCCGAGGGAGCCGGCATACAGCTTCTGGGTCATGTGGCCAGTATGACTAAGCCCCTTCTGGTGAACCAGAGCAGCGCACGGAAACGCCGTTTACCTTTCCGCCAGAGCGGGACCTATTTATCTACTTGCACTTTGAGGTGCTTTCGAACTGCTAGGTTGGCAGGAGCAGGGACCGAGCAACAGGAGCTCACCCTGTCATGGGGATTCGAACCACCGACCTTCTGATCGGCAAGCCCTAGGCTCTGTGGTTTAACCCACAGCGCCACCCGCGTCCCATAATGTCACAATGATGCTCTTTAATACCTTTGAGAGACTAAGCTGCTGTGAAGGATGACAAATGAAGAGATAGATGAATGAAGCAAGATGGCATTCCTCCGCCATCTCCCTAATCTGAGCTTGTATAAGGGAGGAAAGGCTTGCAAAAATGCATATATAGGCTAAAATGCATACAGAGAGAGAAACAGAACATGACAAATTTGTGCCTCCTTTAGTTTTTAGTGAATGCGGGCTTTGCAACACTTTGTCCCTTTAGCCACTAAATGTGGCTAAAAAGCCAACGACTGCAGCCACTGACAAATCATGTTGACCCAACATGACAGTCCAATTAGAATCTCCTGCTTTAAACTTTAGCGTTGCCATAGCCAATCCAGCTCAAATATTTAAATGGATAACCCACCAAACGGGCTTAAACACTGAATAATTTCCCCATGAGTAAAACCAGTATTGTACCAGCGCACTCCTCAGGGGTAAAGGAATCCCCACTAAGGAGTAGCAGCCAACAATGCTATTGCCCTACCACCTTGACCGCTTTTCCCCCTGGGTAAATCTGAGGAACCTCAGGCCCAGCAGCCAAGTGTGGCCCTCAAGGGCCTTGGGATCTCTTCCCCAGGCCAGGCCCCCTTCCCAGCCATGTTTTGCACCTTTGCTTGAGTGTTTCTGCCTGGCTGGCATGTGTCTTTGAGCTCTGTTTGTGCTTCTTGCTTGACGAGATGGAGGATAAAGAGTAACGTGTGTGGAAACTGGCCTACTGCACAAAAGGTAAGATTCACATAAACATATGTGAATCTTACATTTTGTACAGTAGGCCCATGATTGCCAATCTTCCACTGCCTTGTGGGTTATCTTCTGGAGAAGAAAAGGCTAAGGAGTACAGTGGCATAGTGTGGGTTGCCAGAGCTCGTAGCAAGGCAAGTATTGCGCCCCCTCTACAGTGGAAACCCCCCCCCCAAACACACGAATGTATACCCCACACATTCCTCCATACGGGGGGCAGGTTGGCCAGTGAAGCTGGCGTTCAGCTGTCCAAGCTATGGGTGCTTTCTGAGGTGCAGCAGTGGCTCAGCAGCTTTGAGGGCTCAGGGCTTTTGTGCCCGGGGCAACCACCCCTGTGGCCCTCCCCACGCGATGCCACTGATGGAGTAAACCCTACACAAAATGGAGTGGAGTCTCTAAGACAATTGGATGGCATCTTGTATGCCTCCTTCCAGCAACTCCTGCAGCCAAGCTGGTGTCAAAGGGGTGCCACCTTGAATAAAACATTGGGGGGGGGGCTGTGACGTTAACATATGAGAGTGCTGGAGGTGAAATAGTTAAACAGGTTACCCAATCAGATCCCAGGGGGGTGGAGTCAAAGGGACTATAAAACCAGCTCTGGGAGGGGCGAAGGGAGGAGTTCGTTGGGAGTTGGGTGGTTGGTTGGAGCGGGAGTGAATTGGGATAGAGTCTGTGGGTGGCGAAATAAGCTGAGTCAGTAACAGTTAGGGGCTAGGAAGACAAGTAAATATCTGAGAGGTGGTTTAGTGAGTGAGAGCAGGGAGCGGAAGTTATAGGTCTGGATAGGCAGCCCATGATTGTAATTGACTGAGACCGTTTATGAAACCACACACTTGTTAAATTGCAATAAATAAACAGAAGTTTATGTTCCAACTTAACCCTGACTGGACTCAGTATTGTACCAGGTAGGGCCTGGGTGGTGGCAGCGAGAAATAAAGTGGTGGCACAGGGATCAATAGGCGGTGAAACGTCCGGGGACCCTGTGTGATCGCCACAGGGGCAAGTAAGCCCTGCCCTGCATAATGCACTTGACATGGTGCATGGACACCATTTGAATGGCAATGCTCATCAACTTGGAGGGGCGGCCCTCTCAAATATTTTATTGGGGGGAACGGAGACCCCTTGGCCCCTTCGAGCAGGCTCCTATGTGCCAAACGTATTGCTCTGCTTTTCTTTGAACCGCATCCGTGAGGCTGGTGTGTTTGTGTGTGTGGGGGTGGGTGGGTGGGTCTTGTCATCTGGGCAGCCCAGGATCTCCATACAGACTGCCCAGGCTTGCGCCCCAGGCAGGTCACCTTGGTGTTGCTAACGCAGCGGTTTGACTTCACCCCTGGATGCACACTCCATTGTCTCTCAAGACAGACAGATGCCAACAATGTTGCCTCTGGTCCCTCCCCTGCTGGAAGAATGCCCAGAAGGGAAAGTGCTGAGAAACGTTTCTCTCCTGCCTTAGTTCATGAACAAATCTTCAGCTCCCTCTGGGGTTAATGTAGGGAAGCTTGTTCACTGCCTAAGACTACCAGATCTTCCCAGCATGCTGTTCCACATTAATCCATTCAGGGGCATTTCAAACATCTGAGACAGTGCTGGAAAGTGCAGCCCTGATCGATTCCCCTTGGCCACTCTCAGGTGATCTGGGCGTGCTTTACGGACAGCAGGTTTTATCCCTGGCTCTGCACCAGCGCATCACAGTTTGCTCGTTCAATTGGCCCCGTGTCTGTGTTTAATGGAGGGTTATCTGATAAGTGACCAGAGCACAGGGGAAATGCTCCTGTGATGAGCAAATCCAAATCAAGAAGCGTCAGGATTCCCAATCTGCGATTTTGCTTACCACACAAGTGCGTGTAAGCATCACTCGGGAGATGAGAACGACTGAGGCTCTTCAAATGGGGAGAGCGTCTCCCAACATCCATTAAGCACAGAAACATAAGCCTCACAAGGATCCTGTGCCAAACGGCTCTCTCGGCTGCTGTCTGCCTTGTTCTGGAGATAGCTCTGCAATCAATAGCACTCGCATTGATTTTTCCAGTGCGCTGCATTCCAGTAAAACACACATACATAGCTGAGTAAGCCATTTCCTGCTAGAAGGGCGAGTGGATGATGCCTTGGAAAAAGTGCACAGGAAGGAAATTTGCTTTTTGGGGGAGAGGGAATTTATGCTGTCAGTCCCACACTAGCATGATATTGATGTCGTAGAAAAGCTATATTGCAATATTTAAGCAGAGAGGAAACATTGCATAGAGTCTGGAGGGTCCATTTTTTAGTGGCAGAGGATTTAGAATAGGGATTGGGTGCTGAATATGGCCCCCAGGTCTTCCTTTATGGCCCTCAGAACTCTCCTCAAGTAATCCCACCCCCTGCAGATACAAGTGAAAGAGCAGTGTGCTGACAGTCTTTCAAAGGTGTGTGGATCATGGCCATGTGTCTTTTCCACTCCATGTCATTATAAAGTTATCCTGTTAATGAGAGCCCAAGCTGGGAGTTACTGTTTAGTTTTGGGGTTTTGAGAGATGTCATGAACAACAAAATAGACATTATTAGCATGGCAAGAAACAGTACCTGCACAGTACCTTTCATGGCAGGAGGGGTATAGACGCTCTGCTTCCTCTGTTTGGGAGAAGCATTCTGTGTCTAAGGATAGAAAAGAACGACGTTTCAACAAAACTAAGAGCAAAGCAATAAAGTCAGACAATAAACTAGAGACATTTCTTCCTATTAGCAGTTTTCTCATGGTACCCTGAATGCTTTATATTTATGGCTTAGTTACTAATACTGTTTGTTGACACCGCTTATTGATCCTGTATAGACAGTTATATTAGGTCTGAGCTCTTTAATTAAAAGGGTATGTTTGAAGCAAAAAGTATACACACACACACACACACAGAGAGAGAGAGAGAGAGAGAGAGAGAGAGAGAGATTTTGTGGGGACTGCTCTGAAATAGGATGATAGGATGATCACCCATTCAAAGTGAGAGTGCTGCTGATCTAAGAAGCATGTTTCACTCTCGATTGGCTTGGTGGTGTCATCATCACATAGTCAACTATGATAGGGTTGTGACGACATCATATTTATTTTGTGATCTCCAGTTGGCTAGGGTCATTCTTCCCAAGAAAAAGAAGACCAAGTTTAAATAAATTTTATGGGCTAGACATTATCAAACTACAGTTGTTCCACCTGTTTCTGAATGGTTAAGGAAAATAATGGATATTACTCAAAAGTGGAAAAAAGAATGAAATTTTATGAAGATGAAACGTGGAGCCTAAAATATAGCTTGGGATTTTGAAGGGAAATGGATTCTTTTAAACTCTTGATTATGTACCACATTTTATAGTCCATTACTTATTTTTTATGTTGCAGATAATCATTAATTTAAAAAGCCTGACTACATTAGAAAAACATGCCATTGAATGATGTCAGTCTTGCAGCATTCTAAAGGGTCTGCAAAGTTCACCCTCCTGTACTCCAACACAGTGAAATTGTAGAAGTTAGTACTATATTTAAATCTTCACTTAAAAAGCTTTACTCCATTTCCCTAGGGGCTTAGGTCTAGTACGTAAGAAGTATATTTTTAACATACCTAGCCTAATCAATGAAGATTCAGTAGCTATGTAAGTTGGCCTATAATATTTAAAGTGGTTCATAATAGTTTAAGGTAATGGATGGAAAGATGATATTTATGAATAAATTATTGGGTACATTCAGAGAGTGCTAATTATATTTATTGCATGATGGGATGTTGATGCTCTTCACTGAATGCTTTTAAATGTTTGGAGCTAAATCTGAAGGGGAAAAAAATCAATAGTGTTCATTGCTATTTAAAGCAATGCTGGTTTGTCTGAAACTCCAGCGAAAATGAGAGAGATTCAGGTCATGGAGAAGGAGCACACAAAGGTGGAAAAAAATCTCATCTCTGATTATGTTGGATGTAATTTCCCTTATTTCCAAAGTTCAGATGCAAATGTAGATAGGAAGCCAAAAATGGCACCGTAAGAGGGAGATATCAGAAGCCTTAAGGAAACCCCAAGATTTGTGCTAATGAAATAAATCTATTTTTTTCCCCAATCTAATAGGAGGGATGCTAAAAATAGCCCAGTGAGGACTGGGCATGCAGAGCAGCCATAACACTGACTGATGGAGGAGGGGAATGGAAAACTGTTGGAAAAACAGTGCAAGAGAGCCCTCCATGCTGCAACATATGGTTGCAGTTCCCTCTTGCTTTAAGTCTGAGTTTACACATTTAATATGAAACAAGTGATACTGAGCTCAGAGGGACTCATAGTGTTAGAAAATACAATTAAGAGCACAGCTTTCCCACATATCTGATGGTTGTATTAAGAATTGGGGAATGCTTCACTCTTACATCCAAAAAGGTATGAATGTGTAATAATCCTCTCCTGACAAAGAGCCCACAGCTCCATGTTTTGCTATTCTGAGTGTGCCATGTGAATGCAAGTTCAAGGCAAGAGCTCATGCAGAGATGCAGCAGGCAGCCTTCTTTGAAGATAGGTATCTGCATCAGACTCCTGCCAACCTAGCAGTTCGAAAGGACATCAAAGTGCAAGTAGATAGGCCAAAATATTGGGAAATTTTGGAGCAGGAAGGAGACAAATTGAAACTGCAGAGTTTTGAGAAACTAAAAGATAAAGTGCGAGATTGGCTTCACTATTATCAAATAAGAGAGGCTTATAATTTAGACAAAAAAATTGGCTTCCAGGTGGAAAAATCAAAGTTGGAAACAGAACTGTTAGATCCTAAAACAAAGATACTTTCAAGAATGTATAACTTGCTGTTAAAATGAAACACTCAGGACGAGACGGTTAAATCTGCCATGATTAAATGGGCACAGGACGTTGGACATAACATTATGTTTGCTGACTGGGAACAGTTGTGGACCACAGGTATAAAATTTACGGCATGTAATGCCCTAAAAGAGAATATTATGAAAATGATTTATAGGTGGTACATGACACCAGTCAAGCTTGCAAAAATCTATCATTTGCCCGATAATAAATGTTGGAAATGTAAAGAAACTGAAGGTACATTCTTTCACCTTTGGTGGACGTGCCCAAAGATCAAGGCGTTCTGGGAGATGATCTATAATGAAATGAAAAAGGTATTTAAATTTACCTTCCTGAAGAAACCAGAGGCCTTCCTCTTGGGTATAGTCGGCCAATTGGTGCCAAAGAAGGATAGAACTTTTTTTATGTATGCTACAACAGCAGCAAGAATACTTATTGCAAAGTATTGGAAGACACAAGATTTACCCACTTTGGAAGAAGGGCAGATGAAGGTGATGGACTATATGGAAATGGCGGAAATGACTGGCAGAATCCGAGACCAGGGAGAAGAGTTGGTAGAAGAAGATTGGAAGAAGTTTAAAGACTATTTGCGGAAATACTGTAAAATTAATGAATGTTAAAATGATGTTGGACTGAAAATAAGTGGTTTTGGTAATAAGGTTAATAAGAATATGTAAATATTGATAGTTATATGGATGAAAATATATAGTTATAATAGGTTAAGATACAGAGTAAAGATAAAAGAAAGAGGGTAAGGATTTGCTGAAAGGATTTTGTAAACGGGAATACAAAAAGGGGAGGTGTGAGGAAGTCAGGGAAGTAAGGAAATGAAATGTAAGGTATGGAAAGATCGATGTGTTTTTTAAGTGGTTTTTTTATCTTTTTTCTGTAATTTGTATTTTTTCTTTTTATTTTTTTTTCCTTTTCCTTTCTTTTTATCTATGTAATATTTTCTTTGAAACTTTAATAAATATCATTTTAAAAAAACCAAAAAAACCCCAACAAAGTGCAAGTAGATAAATAGGTACCGCCCTGGCGGGAAGGTAAACGGCGTTTCCATGCGCTGCTCTGGTTCGCCAGAAGCGGCTTAGTCATGCTGGCCACATGACCCGGAAGCTGTACGTCAGCTCCCTCGGCCAATAAAGTGAGATGAGCGCCGCAACCCCAAAGTCGGTCACGACTGGACCTAATGGTCAGGGGTCCCTTTACCTATCTGCATCAGGAGTGAGTGAATGGGCCAGTCACCAGGTGAAATGAATCATTCCCAAAGGAGACTGAAGGAGCTAGTTTAAGAGCAGTGAGTTGTTAATGCTGCAATCCTATACACACTTACTTGAGAGTAAGTTCCACTGAATTTAATAGGCCTTACTTCTTGTAGATTGCTCTGTCACAGACTTAACAGAGCATAGCATTTTGGACCAGTGCCTGCAATTATTTTAATTAATATATTTTTGATTCACTTTCATAGTTCTCTCTCTACAGACCAGATCATCCCTGAAGGAGCATCTTCACTCCCATCATTCAACCCAGACACTGAGGTCCCGCTCCGAGGGCCTTCTAGCGGGTCCCTCACTGCAAGAAGTGAGGTTACAGGGAACTAGGCAAAGGGCCTTCTCGGCAGTGGCGCCCGCCCTGTGGCATGCCCTCCCATCAGATGTCAAGGAAATAAACAACTATCTGACTTTTAGAAGGCATCTGAAGGCGCCCTGTTTAGGGAAGTTTTTAATGTTTGATGTTTTATCGTGTTTTTAATATTCTGTTGGGAGCTGCCCAGAGTGACTGGGGAAAACTGCCAGATGGGCAGGGTGTAAATAATAAAATAATTGTTGTTGTTGTTGCTGTTACTACACAATTTAGGAAGTCTTGCTCAAGTCCACTGCAGCATAATCATAAGAATAAAATAACATGTTTCTGAATGATTGTTAGACAGCAATTTATCAGCAATTTATCAATTTCTTAAAGCATAATGAACTTACATCATCTTGGGAGTTGTTGTTCATTCTCTTCTCATCTATTTCTATAAGACAGAAAAATACAATTAGGAGACTGCCAAGCTCCTATTTTCTAGACATAGCCCAACATGATAAGATACAGTAATTTAATACTGACATAATCATTGTTGGCTGTGGTCTGCCAAAAGAGCCTTTAGTTATACTGCTTGGGTATCTTAAACGAGCTGTACCTCAAAAATATATTGAGATGAATACTCATTTATTAATGGCAGCCTGCCAGGAATGGGGTGGTGGGAGAGAGTGGGGAGCTGACCTTCCCAGAATGGGGGGGGGGGGGAGGATACAGCCTATATGGCTAAACTGATAAATATAGTAAGGACCAAAGAAGGCAGTCGATAAGATAACAGGTTTGTCAAGAAATGGAGTTTATTGATAGTTGCTTACTACAGAAAAAGTCTTGAAGTGAATTATAAAAAAATTAAGAGACAAAATAACAAAAAAAGTCAAAAATTACAGTAAAACCACTGCCATCAGCCACAACATAGAAAAGAAAGCCTCTTCCCCCACCCCAAATGAGTGACAAATTGATATGAAGGTGTAGAAATGTGAGGGACCAAAAAACCCCCACCCCTCCTTCATTGCTCGAGATGTAAGTTTCACAATGAATGAAAACTGAAATGAATGGGCCCTGTTCACGTCAAGTTTCCATTGGTTCAGAAATGAATGCAACTCTCCACCCCACCCCCTACAAATAATTATGAATGGTCATCATTGGCAATTTTTATGAAATGCTGCTTATTATAACATGCAAAATGTTTTAACCTGGAATACTCGTTAAATTACAGTAAAAGTAGCCATATCTGCTACCTCAGAAGAATCCCTGACCATCACCACAACTCTTGCTCTGAGTAGACTTAGAAGCTCTCAGCGAAACAGGATATATGTGAGACCAATACTCTCTCTCTCTCACTCACTCACTCACTCACTCACACACACACACAGCCTTAAGTTAAAATGTTCATCTCATTAAACATTGGCTCAGTAGTTTATCATACTCTCTTCTCAAATTATTGAGTGTGTCTTCTTTTGTTTTCACTTATCAAAGGAAACCGGTAGTCTCGTAAACTGGGGAACCGGGTTCGCGTCTCCGCTCCTCCACATGCAACTGCTGGGTGACCTTGGGCCAGTCACACTTCTTTGAAGTCTCTCAGCCCCACTCACCTCACAGAGTGTTTGTTGTGGGGGAGGAAGGGAAAGGAGAATGTTAGCTGCTTTGAGACTCCTTAAAGGGAGTGAAAGGCGGGATATCAAATCCAAACTCTTTTTCTTCTTTGCCACAGAGGTGCATGTAATTACATATAATCACCAATGAAAAGGGTCAGGAATGGGTCCACAGAGCATTAGCAAGGGGTCCCTGTAAACCATAAAAGATCCTCTTATTGCAAAGGGGTAGCTAGAGGCTCTTTTTCATTATTATCCCTGCTCTGAGAAGGGACTAAGAACCTGATATTTCCGCAGCTTTTTACATACTAATCCACATCTAAATCATTGGTTAATCCTTTAGGGAACTTTAATGACGAGAACAGAAGAGGAAGTATGATTAATAACAGCAAAATATACACACACAGCACTGTAATAAAAGAGGGAAAATACTATCTCTCTGCCCCTTCTCCCCCGCCAGCCCCAACATTATGGCTCACAGTATTGGGTCTAAAGTCTAGCTGAGACTTGGCACATAATTTGATGACATTGATTTATGGAGGAAACAATCACATCTCAAATTTTCTCACCCATGCTGGATTTTTTTATTTCATTTTTTAAGGCCCCACATATAATAGAATGATTTTCCTTTCCTTTCCTTTTCTCATAATAGCTTTCAAAAATGGCTTTGATTCTGTTTTGGAACCAGGATGATGCCTCAGACATAGCCTCTTTTCAATTGTTTGGAAGGAAATCTGAAAAAGTTGAATGCCCTTTTTGAACAAAAGGTTACTAAAAAGACCTCAAAGTAAAGCCAGCAAGTTTTCAGTTGATAAGCCTGGGAGTGAGGGAGGGGAACCAAGCAAATCATCATCATGAACAACAACAACAAAAGAGATAACAGTATAACCGCATGGATTTCTATGCTTTTCTCTCTTTTTTTACATAGGCAATAATCTAAAAAAAGAGAGCCTTAATTAAACCATGGACATGAAAGCTGTGGCTCTCCAGGTGCTATTGGACAACACTGCCACCAACTCTACAGGGCCGAGTCCTCAGCTCCTTCAATATTTATGGGGAGTGGGCCCAGCCCCCTCAATGTTGAGGGGTTGGAGGAGGCTGAGCACGGTGTGGCTTCAGTGGTCGGATCCCTCTGAGCACAAGAAGAAGAAGAAGATGATGAAGAAGAAGAGGAAGAGGAGTTTGGATCTGATATCCCGCTTTATCACTACCCAAAGGAGTCTCAAAGTGGCTAACATTCTCCTTTCCCTTCCTCCCCCACAACAAACACTCTGTGAGCTGAGTGGGGCTGAGAGACCTCAGAGAAGTATGACTAGCCCAAGGTCACCCAGTAGCTGCATGTGGAGGAGCAGGGAAGTGAACCCGGTTCACCAGATTACGAGTCTACCGTTCTTAACCACTACACCACATTGGCAAGAGAGGAGGAGCTGCTGGCCACTGAAACCGTGACATGCTAGGCTCCACGCTTGGCCTCCTCCTGGTGATGCAACATGTGTATGACATCACACACACGCAATGCACTCCAGGCCCCCTCAATCTTGGGCATGAGTCGGCGCCTCTATTGGACAACAGCCCCCATCATCCCTGACAATTTGCCGCGAGGGCTGAGCCTCATGGGAACTGGAGTCAAGCAATATCTGGAAGGCCACAAGTTCTCCAACCCTGATCTGAGTAAGTACCGGACCGAAGGCATCACCAGGGTCTATTAGTGAACCACTGGCTACATTCAAAAGAACAATGCCTCCTGGTCAGGGCTGGCCCTCTCATAAGGCAAGGTGAGGTGACTGCCTCAGGCAGCAGGATTACAGGAGCAGCAGAACTGGCATTGTTGGCCACCCTAGGCTCCCTTCCATCTGGCCAATTTTCTTTGTCACCTTTGAAAAGACAGAGAAGCTGGAGTTGTCTGGAGACCATTCCTCCAAAAGCTACATTTTCCTGAATTCCTGGTGAAGGGGGATTGATTTTTAAAACACTGGGAATCAATTGTAGCTTTCTAAGGGAAACAGAGGTCTCCTAACAACTCTCAGCACGCCTGACGTGATCACACCAGGTAGGAAATTCTTACCTATCTATATTAAAATGTCCTATAGCATTTTGCAAAAATAAGCAAGAATATTGATTTTGGTAAACAAGTCACTCTCTTCTCAACAGCATTCCGTATTTGTGGAGCTACTCTGTGCCTCTGTAGAGATATTGCTTTACCTCATGATAAGAGGGACTCAGAAGATAACAGAAGCAGTCTAGGTGCTTATCAGTCCCTGGCACCAAAGCCTTTAGGACTATTGTAACAGGAAACTATCTGTATTGAAAATGATGTGTAAATAATTCCCTGGAATTGAGGAAGCTTGTTTCTATGGTGCTGCTCTGAATGGAGTGACGATCAGAGAAAGGATACAAGGTTCAGTTATGAAATTATTGAGCGTACTTTCAGATTTCTCCATTTACAAAAGCACTCTGACACACCCAGAGACAATCAAAACCAATCTGTTGTTTAGAGGCTACAACACTACAGCCTGTGGGAGAGATTTATGCCAAAGATGAATACACTGAAAGTATGAATTTCACCCGTTTTTGAACCAATGCATTGAGTCAGATGCAAAGTGCAGAACTATGAGATTGATTTTCATCACAGAAAAACAAATAAAACAAAGCAGGCTGCAATCCTATAGCCTGCAGAGGTTCAACAAAATGTCCCTGAGGCCTAAGTCTAATAGGAGGCGTTGTTCCTTGAACACATCTCTCTCACACAAACAGTGACACCTCAAATAGGATACAAGATGCATGTTGTTTGGAGCATTTCCTTGTTGAAAAAGGAATTCATAATTTTTTAGAAATAAATAAATACAGTGGTACCTCAGGATAAGAACTTAATTCGTTCTGGAGGTCTGTTCACCTGAAACTGTTTTTAACCTGAGGTAACACGTTAGCTGCCAACCTAGCAGTTCGAAAGCACCCTCGGGCGCAAGTAGATAAATAGGGACCACTTACTAGCGGGAAGGTAAACGAAGTTCCGTGTGCTGCGCTAGCTCGCCAGATGCAGCTTGTCACGCTGACCACGTGACCCAGAAGTGTCTGCGGACAGCGCTGGCTCCCGGCCTCTAGAGTGAGATGAGCGCACAACCCTAGAGTCTGTCAAGACTGGCCCGTACGGGCAGGGGTACCTTTACCTTTACCTTTAACATGTTAGCTAATGGGGCCTCCTGCTGCCGCCAGTGCACGATTTCTGTTCTCATCCTGAGGTAAAGTTCTTAACCCAAGGTACTATTTCTGGGTTAGCGGAGTCTGTAACCTGAAGCATCTGTAACCTGAAGCATCTGTAACCCAAGGTACCACTGTAAATAAATACATATTTCATATAGAACAGCAGAATTTGTCCTTTTGATCCCGTGCCCCCCAGGCTGCACGGCAGGACCATTACATATTTTAAACCTGTAGATTCTATCTGAATTTTTATCCATCCAAAGGGACCATTCAGATGTCTCTCCCCATACGCACAGCCAGCCCTACCATTAGGCTGAGTGAGGCAGTTCCTTCAGGCAGCAGCTGCTGAGGGGTGGCAGCAAAGTGTTAGAAAGCACAGAGGTGAAATTGTGTGTGAGGAAGGTGAGCCTGCAACCTGGATTCAGGAACTAAAGTATTTAAAGTATTCAGGAACTAAAGTATTTACCATCACAGAAGAATGGCCAGACTGCCCAGGTAATGCAAACAGTGACCATTATCAGGTATCCTGGCAGACAGGATTTCTGCTGTAGACCACCTCCTTCTGTGATGTATGTATGATGTTTTGGGGTGGTGGTCTACAGGGTGGGCAATTTCAAAAGTCTATCTAAGGGCTTGTGCACCATTGTTCAGGGTTCTCCTCTCTCCTCCGTGTGGTGAGTGGGGACCCTGTGGCAACAGTTCCTTAAATAAAGATCAGGCTTACTAGCTGCTTTGCTTCTCAATATACTCCGACTGGCCTCTGTTATTTTCTCCTACCGATAGGGAAGCCACTTACGGACTCTATATGGGCTGTAGAATACGCCATAAGGGAAAGGGAACAGTTTTTCTTATAGTAATACCATGATGCGCCCAGCCTAGCTTCATTTTAACACACAAAGCAGTGACCTGATCAAGTTTGCATATAAATGGTGTCAGGTTCAATCCTAGTGAAAAGATTTCAGGAAACAAGACTGGGAGAGTTCTTTGCCTGAGACTTAGGGGAGCCAGTGTCTGGCCTCAGTGGTTTGTCTCAGCAATGGAGACTCCCTTATCTTCTTTCTTCTATAAACACCCTTTTAATAACATTTGCTTTATAAATGAAAGGAAATGTGTTAACTAGTAGCTAAATATTAATGCCTCGGGTGGACATTTCCATTGTGCTTTATTTCATGTCGATGACGTCATGGGATAATGTCCCCACAACTGATCTTATCTTCTGCAAAGTCTCGTAAAGATAAAGAAGTTATAGGGAGTATAAATTGCAGCTAACGCGCCAATTAGAAGCGCTCCGGCTTCCACGATCAATAAACCACCCGCTGGGTAATTAAATTTAACAAAATAAATCAGCTAGCCAGAGAAAGGGAAAACAAAGTGAGATCGCTGAGATGAAGCTCTGATGTTGAGATGTGAGATACATCCCCTCCCTGCTCTGTTTTGGAATCAACGACTCCCAAATACAAACCACATTCAGACCTTACAAGTTTCTGCTTCTGATAGTTCCTTCTTTCCTACATTAACCCCTGCAAGAGCAAAGCCTTCAAAATGATATTCCTGACAAATTAAATCTACTAGTGCATCTTGAACGAAAACACCCACATACTGTTCTCTGTTGCTATAGCTAGTAAGAACTATTCTAGCCTCTCCTAGGAAATATTGACATTACAGGGACTCAAGGAAGTGATTTTCTACTGTCGTCATATATGCAAAGGATACATGATTGATGATCCATTTACAAAGACCACGTGTACGCGGGGGGGGGGGAATGGAGCAGAAAATTGGCAGAACCACTATTGCCCCTGACAACTGCCTTGGAGTTTTTAAGAAAATGATGATGTTTGTTTCTATGGGTCCTGGAAGGGAAAAGGTATGTATAGGTTTCTTGATTTACTTTCTAATGGTCTAAACTTAAATTCTAAACTAGGGATGAGGGAACCTCAGGTTGGGTTGGGGCAAATGCAGCTCACCAAGTCTCCAAGGACCCTAATGTCACAGACTGGTTGGATGCAGAGGAATGATGGAAGAAACCAGCTAGGAAGCCCCCAAGGGAAGAAGGCTCAGAGCCAGGGGATTGGTGATGGAACAACAACGAGTGGTCAGGAGAAGAGGGAGAAGACTGGGAAGAGGAGGATGTCAGAAGCTGAAAAGGGAACAGGGCTTAGTGAGCAGGAAGAGGCTGTGGCAGAGAGCAGTCCAGAACCAGAGGCAGAAGCTGAAGCAGGAGAGGAGGGAGGCCGAGAGGCAGAGATCAGGCCGGCTGGGGAAGAGGCGCAGATGTCTCTCACTCCTGCTGCAACAAGCTGCCCTCCCCCTGGTCTCCAAGAACCAGGAGAGGCATGAAGAGGGCGAAAAATTAGCTTCACACAGGTGCAGTCTCAGATTGCTTGAGGAAAACCCTGGAGAGGACGAGACTTAGGCAACTGTGGGAAGGCGAGCAACTGCTCTATGGGGACAAGACCTGCTGGAGATGAGTTGCTGTGCTCATTCATCCTGACACTCCTGTGCCCTGCTTTTGCTACTATAGAGTTACCTCCAACTTGCTTGGTGTGATTTGCTGTTGGTTTGCTCCGTTCACCTTCCCACAACACACCCTTTCCCCAGCTGCATCACCTGCTGACCTTGCACCAAGCCCTCCTTGGGTGTTTTTACCTGGCTGGAATGTGTCCTAGAACTCTGATAATGCCTCTTGCCTGCCTCAACGGATAGAGAGGGTTGTGTGAGTGTGTAGAAACTAGCCCATCGTACAGAGATAACATTTGCATCTCTTCCTCTGCCTAATTTTCCCTATGGCCCTGTCCACCGCAAGGCACGTTACCCCCCAGAAAGTTGCTCAGATGGGAATGTGACTGTCAGGGTGAAAAAGGTTCCTGGCTTCTAGTCTAAATGAACTGAATGGTGTAGAATCTCCTTGGTAACAATATCTGCAACTTTGGCATTTTGGGTATATGCACCACACACATGTCAGCAAGAATTAGAAGACCGTCAACAGAGCGTGGGAACTTATCAACAGACTGTGACTGGAGAAAGCAGGAAGGGTTGCTAATCACATCAGAAGCCTTACAGATATGTTGAGAAAGGGGGTTAAAAGTGAAAATTGAAAGTGTTGTCAAGCTGGCATGATGAAGTCTGTAAATATTAAAATGCAGGAAGTAATGCATAAGGAGTCTGCAACCAGCATAAATTCAGAATTTGTTTTTATTTTTTAAAAAGCAACTCTCTCTGGTGGAAAAGATGCTGTGTGTCAGATTCCCTGCACCAGAGGTTTTCAACCTTTTCAAGTCCACGGCTCCCTTAACCAACTATATTCTTTCTGCGGCACCCCTGTGGGGCTCAGGAGCCCACTTATGTCAGCCCTTGCCAGCAGAGCTGGCAGCCTCTCACCCTTTTTCGAATACCCTCCCTTGTGGAGTGTTCCCTCAGCCTCCTCTCCTCTCCTTAGGAGTTTTTCGGGCAGCTGCTGCTGCCGTCCCTGGTCTCTGAGCTGCCCCCCTTTGCCCCAAAGAGAGGTGCCTCTCAGCTGCATCATTCGCCTGCAGAGCTTATAGCCAGGGCTGCTGCAACAAACAGCCATGCAAGCCTCTGGGAGGCAGAGATGCGAGAGGGAATCAGAGGAGAGAGGGAAAGAAAGAGGGACAGAGGCCAGTGTTGCCCACAGCGCTCCTGACCATCATTGAAGGCACCCCAGGGTGCCACGGCACACTGGTTGAAAACCACTGCCCTACACCATATACAGTGGGAGTGTCACAAAACAGACACAAACTGCTGTTAGCAGCAAGAATGGCAACAACTACTCACTGGCAATGCCCACTGAAAGGATTGGCTGCAACCGGGTATGATAAAATTTGGAATCAACTCATAACAGACAAGTTAAGATGTGTCTGAGGACACACGGAGTAGCAGATCAGCTTAAAAATACTTGGGAGTGGTTCTTGAACTCTGCAGATATGATAACGTCTGCTACTGTTGAATTATTAGCCTATTGTACTGTAAATGGTAAAATATATTGTTTGTTGGATTCCTGCCTCCCCACCCCACTGCTGTTTCTGCCATAGATTTTGCCCCAGCACAAGCCAACACTGATATGTGAAATTTGACAGATGCCAGTCAATGCTGGCTGCCGCTACCATAGTATGAGGAACATGCATGCATGAATCAGCTCAGGGGGTTGTGCACATCCATCCTTCACAATAAACAAATCTGTACCAGCATTTCCAGGTGTGCATTTTGATTCAGTGCCATATCATTTAATCAAATATTTCCCACACAGAGAGAGATATGATAGATTATAAGCCCTGAAATCAAGTTAAAATTAAACTTAAAAGTCAAATAAACAAACAATGAACTGTAAAAATTGTATAGTACAGTAACAGGGAGAGAAACAGCCATGTAGTTTTCTTCACATACAACCAGTATGTGGCTGTTGTTTTTAACTGATGTGTGGCTTTGCCCAGAGATTTTATGTCTAAGCCATAAGTACAAATTTGAAACTGAAAGCATCTGTTTTTGGTTTTCGCTAGCGACTGCCCTGCTCTGCCAAAAGATGCAGCTCTGCTCTCTTGAAAATGAAGCTTGAAGTTACGTGATACATCTTTCTAAATAACAACCCTCGCCACCATCCAGGGTTCTAAGAGTGCTTTTCAGAAATGCCACATAGGAAAGATTTTAAATATCACAGCCAGATGGTGATATTAAGACATAATTTAGAAAAGACTTTCCTCCCATTCTTTCTACGCCATTGTCCTCTGTGGTTGCAGCCGACCAGTTTGGGACCTGATCACGACTGTAGCCAAGTGCGGGGCAGGGAGGGGCTACTGCTCCCCCCCCCAATCCATAAAAATCAATAAAAATACATAGCTAACTGAGGTTCTGCCTCCCCTAACAAAAGGCTTGTCCCGCCCCCCCCCCCCAAAAATCCTGACTACGCCCATGGACCTTATTACTTCCCAGATGAGCCAAAATGCATCTAGACTCCCTGCTGCTCTCTGGCTTCCTGTGACTACAATCCCAGCTGCTTGCTACAGAGGATCCCAACAAGCTGGATTTCAGTGACCTGAATATAACTGATCTGTAGAAAGGACTTGAGGAACTGAAAATAGAGATGATGTACTTACTTTTGTAACCCAAGAAAATCTTCAGTTAAAATTATGTGTGTGTGTGTTTTCCATCTGCAAATCTTCTATTGTAAAATAAAATGCACTTGTGTGTGTGTTTAAGTGTAAATGTGAGTGTTCTTAACATTCCAGAATGAACATCTTCCTTGTGCTTGTTTCTAAGATTGCCGTATAGTGAGCCTTAGAAAAAAGTGTCAACACAAACAGATTAGTCATAAACTCTGCCTGTGTTGCAATTCTTCTTCCACATCTGTTCTCGATAAAAATTTGCTTCAGCACAGAAAAACTTTCCTAACAATGGAAATAATATTTTGGGGAAGAACCAAGGGGATATCCAGAAACCACCTGTTATATTTCAGACAGCTGATCTTTGGGATTTCTTGGAATTGTCTTAGGTGCTATTTTTGAAATTCCATTCCTTGGAGCAGGGAGGGGACGAACAAATAGTTTCCTGTGGGATCAAGGAGTCCTGGTCTTTCCTTGTCCCTGGAAACGGAATAAGCATTGCTAGATGGAAACGATCCCTTTTTAAATGATTTGTCTCTCTTACACAGGGAGGCTTGGGCACTTATTTTTTCATTGTGGCAACCTCACTCTTAACATTGTGGTATAGGCTGCATTCCTAACCCCCATGTGTACCTAGGAGTAAAGTCCCATTGAATTCAACAGGACTGACTTTTGAGTAGACATGATTCAGATAGCACTGTTAGAGGCTAACTAAAGCTCCAATGGCCAAAGTGTCCCATGAGCAAAGTTCTGTTGGAATGCTCCAGAAGCCGAAGGGGAGGTGGCATTTTCCCCTTGTCCCTGCAGCCCCGCTACCCATCAGCAATGTTCTCCAGAAGGTTGGTGGGCCTTCCAGGACAACATGGAAGGTGCTAGGGGTTGCAGGGGAAAGGGGAGATCAAATGTTGCTCCACTGTTGTCTTCCAGTGGGAACCTAGTTCCCCCCATCTTTCCTCTGCGCCCATCATAGAAATGAAGTGGACTGCTAAAGGAAGAAAGCCCCCTTCCACCATAGAAAGGAATGGGCCATAGCTTAATGGTAGCGCATCTGCTTTGCATGCAGGAGGTCCCTGGTTCAATTCTCAACATCCCTAGGTAGTACTGCGACTGTATCCCTTGTCTGAAACCCTGGACAGCTGCTAGTCAATAGGCACAATATTGAGCTGGATGTAATAATGGTCTGACACAGTACAAGGCAGCTTCCTATGATCCTAGAAATGCAACTCTTCTGCCAGGCCTCAGCAGCAGGCTAATAAAATTCAAGGGAGGCTAGTAACTTTGTGTGACCTTGTTCTCAAATCTGGGAGAAAAGGCATGCAAAGACCAGCAAGCAAATCAGAATGAATGCTGGAAGAATGGTCATGGCCATATAAGTTCCCCTCAAACTAATCAAACTGAATGCTCAATAAAGATGACACATAGTGTGACCGCCACTAAGGTTTGCACAAACAAATGAGGATGAATGCTCAATAAGTAGGTCTTCTGGATGAAGCCTCCCTTCCCCACTTTTGCAGAGAAGGGAAGCCACCAATTGCAAAGTTCTGGTATGGGCAGCATCACTGCTGATGCTTTCCCCCTGAATATTTAACTCTTTCTTTACACTCATTCCCTCCTATAAATATTTCCACTAAGAAAGTGCCACAGCTGATTGCATATTCCATGGCAAATTAGTGGGCCCATCATGCCTTGTCATTTAGCCATTTTTAAAGTGCAGAGGGAAACCTTCCAATCAATGTTTCGCCAGCACACTGAGCACATTTCTCGAAGCCAAATCCACTGCTGGTCTCTAAATCATTTAGTGCGCTCTGATGTTCGGCGACTCCTTGGAAGCAAAGGTGGAGGAAATCAGGCAGGCTGCTCTGATCACTTCTGAGAAACTGCCATTAGATAAAAGATTATTTAGCTGGGGGCAACTGCTCTGCTTTCCATGCAGCCTTGGAAGAGGCTTGCTTGATGATGATGATGATGTCAAGAATAATAGATTCCTATTACTCTTGGGATGAATGAAGTGCCTCTGGACACAACTCCCCAAATCCAAACATTTAACAGAGCATGTGTGGTCTGGTAGGGTGGCAGAGCTTCTGCTGGAAGGGAAGAGAGGGTCAAATGTGATATTCTGCTTGTGCCTCTGCTTCTATCCTCCTTCCAGACAAACAGTGAAGCAGAGCCCCATCCACTCCTTCTACAGGAAAACTTTGCTTTAGATGGCCCTAAAGTTATATGGCTCCCCAGCAGTTTTTCAGAGCTCACTGGGAATCCCCTACACATGTGCACACTTCAAAAATTCTCAGAAGGGATGGGGCACATAGATGGAAGGTGAAATGCTTCTGAAAATATTTGCTGGGTGGGGGGATAAATACTGGAGAGAAAGAATTGGCAAAAACCAGAGAGGCACTTTCCATCAGAACTCATGGTCCAAATGAGTCACGTCAGTCATTGTTCTGAACCTGAGTTGATCAGAACAAACTTCTGCTGTAATGTTGAAGCCACAAACTCACAAACTCCTCTTCTCTTCCATACATAAACTGGGCAATTTTAAAAATTGCAGTCTTCCACTTTGGCGAAGAGCAAGATGCAATCTCACATTACTTGGTCTGATGTCATGCGAGTACACCACTCATGTGAGCAGAGTTTATGCATCTGAGAATTTATGTCCTATCCGGCTGATGTGTATGCATTAAGCAGGGCATCTTGGGGGAATCAGCCACCACTCAGGGCAATGTGGTTGCATACTGAGTTGTGTGCAGACCAATGCAGCTGTGCACCATTTCTCTCTCTCTCTTCATATCACCACCCTGTTAAAGCAGAGAAGCAGCCTCACTTGTATAAATATGATTTCTTCTGGCAAATGAAGACCATTTGTTTCGAAGTGAAGACAATTAAAATGCCCTGTTGTTTTGTTGTTCACCTAATATGAAACATTGCTTACTGCCTATGCAAGAACAACTGGGCGGGGTGGGGGAGGAACCCCTCTGTAGTCTAATATTGCTTAATGGATATGAAATGCTGCAATGCTTTTACAGAAAATGGAAAAGGAGCATCAGTAACAGAGAGGGGGTGGGTACTTTTCAAATGGCTTTTAAATGGTCAGTGGTGGACATTGATTGGGAAACCTGTCGATGGCATTACTTTGAGCGCCCATTAACAGTGTGTGGAACTAAATTTGGACTGTCCACAAGCTGCTGCGTGCCACAGATGGAAAGTGCCATGCAGTAACACATTAAAGGCCGCTCTACATTATAGCTTCAGGCAGAGCTATCAGCAGATGCAGACATCAAACTCCCAAATAGAAAGCTAGAATGCCCTGAAGCATGAGCCTGTTTGTTTTGTAAAGTTTCATTTGTTCATCTTTAGATATGTGATACTTCGTCATATGCTACAGCAATGTTTTCAGGGCTTCATCTGTAGGTGGGCATTTTTGAAATGAGCTGCAGTATTCCGTCATTACTGTTATTTTTCAACTTTAGGGGTGAGTGAGATTGGAATGGAGTACCTTGGGAAAGGGCATGGCTGGCAGGCAGGCTGGCTGACTGGCTAGAACCCAGAAGGGGAACCCTCTACACGACAACAGCTCCTTGCAGCTCTCACTTGTACCATCATCCTTCTTAAAGTGCAGCATCTGAATAGCATTTGAAATGCTTCAGATATATTCACCAGTTGTAATCCTTACATGAAGTAATGTAAAAAACAACAACAAGAGCAGTAAAAGCAGGAGTGGTGGTGGAGGAGAGTTCGGCCAAAGACATGATGTAAGTGAATAGTTTGACTTCCTCTCTGGAAGTTTGGTAAAAAGAGCCAGCTCCTCTATCCCATTGGTAGCCTATGTAGCACCCACTTCCAGATGTTTTGGACTACAAGGCCCATCACACAACTTCCTGACCATTGACAATGCTGCCTGAGGCTGATGGGAGTTACAATCCAAATCATCTGCATGGCCCCATGGTTTGCTACCCCTGATCTAAGGCTTCCATGGTTTTGAGCCACAGTTGCTAGCCATTACCTGTCCTTCCCTGCTGTAAGCTTCAGGCACTGAGTGGTCACATGGAGCAAGGCAGCCTTAAAGGTATGAGATCCCAAGCCAGGCAAAACTTTTTATAGGGTACCACCAGCACCCTAAATTGTGTCAAAAGATGAAGTGCTAATCAAAGTAACAGGTTAGCTAGCTAATCTAAGTAACAGCGGAACAGGTTGAATTCATACATGTCTCTCTCAGCCCTTGTTAGGAGACATGCATTCCAGGGAGTTGGATTCCTTTGGGTCCTTTCCAATTCTGCAGTTCCATGTTGCCATGTGTTAGTCTTCTGCAGCTGTTGATGCTTTTGAGTCCTCTTCATATGATGGAGAGAGCCTGGCAAGACTGCTCCCCTGATGTTCAGGTGCCAGGCTAGGATCCATGGACAACCCTGTCCCCACTTGGAGCAAACACATTGCATTGTGTGACTCCTCTGCAAAAATGCCCATGGGATCGGGATTTGGAGAGCCCTCAGGCATGGCCCCCTCAGTGCGTCCTTCCAACCTTGTAGAATCTGCACATGGAAACCAAGATCTTCTTAGGTACTCTGTGCAAAGTGGACATGGTGGCATTGTTATGTAGGTCCTCTGCAGGTTCTGGAAAATGCCCAACTTTGCACCTCCCTGGAACCAGCCCTGTGTAGGACCTCAGAGTCGATTTCCCTCTCGTGTCCACAAGCAGTGGGGTGGAGAAGCACAAGAGAGGTGCTGCTTTTTATGCCCCCCTTGGAGAGCTCATTTTGAGCCCGTAGTTTGCCATAGTGCTGTAATTGTTTTTCAGTTTCTAACGCCCACCCCCTCGCCCAATAGAATTATTTAGTATAGTCATATTGTGCTGATACCCCAGTACTTAGAAGCTGCAGGATTCACTTACCTGGAGGCGAATCAGTCATAATTACTAATGATGCTGGCGTGGGCCTTCTTTTCCTGATCTGCGGAAAATATAGGTGCAAGCAGATTTATTAAATGATGGCCACATCCCTCAGTCTAGAATACTAGCACAAACTGCCAGACTATTTGTACCTAACATAGGGAAGCCAAAAATCATTCAAACTATTGGGTTGCAGATGATCAAAAATAGAACACTTCCCATGTCTGGTCATTCTTTCCATTTCCGAAAGCTAATACGCCCATTTGAATTTGCATTGATGCAGTTACCAGCAAATTGCTAAGTTTCCCCCTCTTTATGCCTTTTCCCATTTGCTTCATTAGGCTGGATTTGAAATCTGTAAAGACTGCAATGGGCATGGTCCGATGACCAGGCTGCTTTAATCAAAGAGGATATAGGTCAAGGATCTCTGGAAGCAGTATGAAAATCTGGAGTCTTGTGCTGCTTCCAGCACAGCCAGTTCCTCATCCCAAGTGTGCAGCCCAGAATCCTCAGGAAATCCTAAGGTGCACTTTCACTTTGTGCTTCTGCCTCACCTATGGAACAACAAGGCTTGAGTCAGGCCTGTCCATTAAATCTCAGCCTAATGATAACAGACCTTCCAAGTGTCCCTATTTTCCAGGGACAGTCCTGGATTGACAGAAGCAGTCCCAGTTTCTGATTTGATCCCAGAATGTTCCACCTTTCCTTAGGACGTCCCTACTTTCATCGGAGAAATGTTGGAGGGTATGGAGTTATGCAACGTCTGAGTCAAGGAGATAAGTAATGACACAACCTTTAGAAGATGTCCGAAGGCAGCCCTGTATAGGGAAGTTTATTTAATGTTTAATGTTTTATTATGTTTTTATATATGTTGGAAGCAGCCCAGAGTGGCTGGGGCAACCCAGTCAGATGGGCAAGGTATGATGATGATGATGATGATGATGGAATAGGATGTCTCTATTTTCATCAGAGAAATGTTGGAGGATATGCCATAATGTCTGTTCCACAAACCCAAACATTGAAAATGTTGAAATATTTTATTTTATATTGAATGACCTAAAGCTTTTATATAATGGGACAAGATGTGTACTTGGAGCTTATCCCTGGAAACAGAATACAATGATAGGGATTTGGCACACAGAAATGCGATGTGAGGATTTTAAAAGCCTGTTCCATGAGCACAACAGGGAGCGGGAACAAGAAGGTATATCAGACTTTTCTTCGTCCCTCATCCTGTGTGACAAACTGCTTTTGATACGGAGGGATGTTTCAAAAGCAGTTTGCGACCGTGGCATGGGAGGTCCAGAGTTTTTTAAAAGGTGGCCGGGGGTGGTGGTGGTGATGTCAGAATTCTACTGGTCAAGGATGAATCCCTTGCAACTTGGGATTCCAGCCTGCAATGACACTGGAACAGGGAACCAGCATACTGTTCCACTAGCATCCACCTGGCCTCTTATCTTCAGCATTCCTTTGCCACTGGAGAAAGGCTATTGGTAGATAATGAAGATAGTGCTTTATTTCATCATCTCTTCTGCTATCAGAGACCATATGGTGATGTTTTACAGCAGGGTTTCCCAAACTTGGGTCTCCAGCTGTTTTGGGACTACATCTCCCATCATCCTTAGCTAGCAAGACCAGTGGGGATGATGGGAGTTGTAGTTCAAAAACAGGTGGAGACCCGAGTTTGAGAAATCCTGCTTTAGAGGAAACTCAGGCCCTTGGCCTACTTTCTTGCCTGCAGCCTGCAAAGATGGATGACTAGTAAGCACACACAGAGTGGTGGGGTGGCAAAGAGAGAATGCACTATATAAAATCCTGCCATCACTGATTTTCGGCTTTTGGCTCCACCCAACGTTGCTTACAGCCACCAAATATATTTTCCCATGGGTCAGTAGGAAAAATTTCCCCACTTCTGCTATATGGGATGTGTACAGCACAGGGAGATGGCGCAGTAGTATATTGCCTAGGTTCTAGCAATATCCTTGTCCGGAAACAGTGAGATAAATCAAGCTATCATGGGAATGAGATATTTAACATTTGTAATGGAATTACATGAAGGGCACCATCCTTTATCTGTAGCAGCCATGACGCACGTTGATTCAATGGGATATGTCACTCAGATAATGACTTCAGATTTTCACCTTCAGCACAGTATAATACGCTCAATGTTATACATTAGTCATGATCATGAACAGCTACATTGTATTTTTTGGAAGGACTTGCTCTTGATAATGTCTTTGCCAGTGATGAGGAGACAGTGCATTCTAAGCAGCCAGAGAGATGAACTTCATCAAACTGTGAATTTAATTCACTATTTCTTTATTTTCTAATGTTTTGCATTGTTACAGAGGGCCAAAGGTCAGCTCAGAGAACAGCTTACTAGAATGAAGTATTCCAAAATATAAGTAAATCCTTGCCTGTTCCCTCTGCACATGTACACACGTGCATATACCCAGTGCTTTTCTCTATACAAAATAAATAAATGTTTAGGGGTACTCTCATTTTCCTGCTCATATTGAAATATTGTCCCTCAATGAGGCCAAGCTTAGGTTCACAAAATATGTAGGGGTATGCGTACCCCTGTGTCCCCCCAGAAAAAAAGCACTGCATATATCTAAGTATTTTAAGTGTGTGTGCATACACATATGAACACACACTCAGAAAGAGTTGTATTTAAAGCAGGAGTTAGGTTTTTTTAAGCCTTGTTTTGTCAAGATTGATGAGACCCCAACATCTTTTTAAAAAGCCTTTCAACTTCCTTACTTGAATAGCTTTCTACGTGATCTGTTGACATCTCTCTATTTCAACATCCACCCAGCTATGTTTGTTTAACAGAGATAGATACCATTTTAAGTAATTCCATCTGTCCGTCCATCTATCCATCTGTCTATCTAGTGACATAGAAACACTGATAAAAGGCACACTATTGCTACTGGAAAGCATCTGTTCTTAAGGAATGAAGACAGCAAATGTTTGCTCTGAAAAAATGGGTGTGAATGTCACCTGGAACATCCAAAAGGACAAACCCTCCTCCGTCCTGTCAGTGCTTGGGACACTTTGTGGAATTCCCTAGCTGAAGCTGAGTGGCAGTTACATTTTCTGATCTGGCAGCAACGCCCTCTCAGCCCCTTCCCCGCCACCCAGACAGGGAGAGAAGATGAAACTAGCTTACCTGTTCAGCTGCTTCAGGGTCTATTTGACTCTGAAATAACGGCACAGCAAACTGTATCTTTTTGGGGCTGTTTGGCTCCATGGCAGCAATCAGGACGCAGAAGAGAAAAGAGCCCCGAACTGCCTGAGAGGAGAAGCAGACAGTTGTTCCCGCGATTATCCTCTGGCACGCTCCCTGAAGCTGCGCCAAGCGGTCCTTAATAACAGCAGTTAATTCCCCGAGTTAGCAAGCAGAGCTGCCTGGGCTGAGAAACTCCCCGATTCCACATCCACAGCAATGCCTCTGGCTGGAGCCACGACTGTATTCCTCCTCCGGCCCTTCAAATCTTCGCCGCACGGAGCTGGAAGGAACAATAAGCTAATTGTGCACCGATTCCCTTCTGCATATGCCAAGCGTTCACTCAGAAGCTAATTGAAAATGCAATACTAGCCTGGCTTGGCCTGGTGCCCTGGGATTTGAAAGAGAGGATCTCTCCGCTGTACATTACTAGCTGGCTGCACCAAAGTGCCGGGTAAGCGCCCTTCGGAGTCTTGCTGATGGCTCGTGAATTATTGATAGGCACAGAGATCAGGATGTTTTCAGGTTGGAGGTGTGGAGGTGGCCGGCCCTGGGAGCAGGTGGGGTGTAGTCAGCCGGCCCCCTTAGAAGTGTTCACAGAACACTTCCTCACCTAGTTGGACTGCCAATTCTTCTGGGCTGAATTTTACTGCTTGCACCTCCGAATTCCAGTTCCCAAACTACAGAGCAACAAAGAAAACTTTTGACCAGAGATGTCATTTTGGTTATTTCCCTACTTTTATATATAGATGCGGGTGGCGCTGTGGGTTAAACCACAGAGCCTAGGGCTTGCCGATCAGAAGGTCAGCAGTTCGAATCCCCGCAACGGGGTGAGCTCCCATTACCCGGTCCCTGCTCCTGCCAACCTAGCAGTTCAAAAGCAAGAAGTGCAAGTAGATAAATAGGTACCACTCCAGCAGGAAGGTAAATGGTGTTTCCATGTGCTGCTCTGGTTCGCCAGAAACGGCTTAGTCATGCTGCCCACATGACCCGGAAGCTGTACACCGGCTCCCTCAGCCAGTAAAGCGAGATGAGCGCTGCAACCCCAGAGCCGTCCGCAACTGGACCTAACGGTCAGGGGTCCCTTTACCTTTATATATAGATGGGGCTCCTTAACCTGGGAAGGTAGCCTATCTAGGAGAACTGTGATCCTAAACCTCCGCTGTCTTGCAGGATATCTTTGGGAGAGGAAAAGGCTAAGGAGTAAACCCTACACAAATTCCTAAGATGGTGGGATGGTGCCTTGTACACCACCTTCCAGCAACTCCTGCAGCCAAGCTGGTGTCAAACTTATTGCTCTGCTTTCCTTTGGACTACATCAGTGAGTCTGAGAGGGGGGCGTCTTATCATCTCAGCAGCCCAGGACCTTTGCTGTAGCTAGACTGGTGACTGGGAGTGGCCGCCGAGATCATATAACACCAGTCCTGAAAGACCTACGTTGGCTCCCAATACGTTTCCGAGCACAATTCAAAGTGTTGGTGCTGACTTTTAAAGCCCTAAACAGCCTCGGCCTGGTATACCTGAAGGAGCATCTCCATCCCCATTGTTCAGCCCGGACTCTGAGGTCCAGCACCGAGGGCCTTCTGGAGGTTCCCTCACTGTGAGAAGCAAAGCTACAGGGAAGCAAGCAGAGGACCTTCTTGGTAGTGGCACCCACCCTGTGGAAAGCCCTTCCATCAGATGTCAAGGAAACAAGCAACTATCTGACTTTTAGAAGACATCTGAAGGCAGCCCTGTTTAGGGAAGTTTTTAATGTTTGATGTTTTATTGTGTTTTTAATATTCTGTTGGGAGCCGCCCAGAGCGGCTGGAGAAACCCAGCCAGACGGTCAGGGTATAAGTAATAAATTATTATTATTATTATTATTATTAATTATACACATTGCCCAGGGTTGTGCCCCAGGGAAGTCACTTAGGTGCTGCTAATGCAGTGATTTCACTTCAGCCAGGAGACACATTCCCTTGTCTCTCGAGACAGATGTATACCAACAACAATATATTTAAAGCATGCATTGCTTTTGTTGTTGCCGTTATTTCAGCTGTCATTTAAAGGTGGGCGCTCTGCTCAGAGACACTGAAATATACTCAGTCGCAAAGTGATTTCATGCTCTTTATTCAGCTCATAGTGGTGAGGAGGAATGAATGGAAGTCCCCTCAAAGTATCTGCTTTATATACATTATTTACACAATGGGCTGCACATGATTGGCTAATTCTGGAATTCTACTGTAAGCCAATCAGGTTGTGGATTCACTTATATCTGGAGCATGATTGGGTGGTTCCTGCCAACCAATCATACTGCTGCATTGTTCTAGGACCAATCAGACTGCTGCATTCTGAATCCTATTGTTCTAGGACCAATCGGACTGCTGCAATTTGGATCCTATTGTTCTAGGACCGATCAGACTGCTGCAGTTTGGATCCTATTCAACTCAGTACATAACAGACACCATGTCACAATCCATCCACTTGCCTCTTGACAAGGTGTCACTAGGGTGCAGTGACACCCTAGTCTCCTTGCACCCATATTGCTTACTGGTGTCCAAAACCCGCTCCTGCATCTGTTCTCCCACTCAACACGCACACAAGTGCCCCATCAACATCACTTCACAAGGGGTTATTTCTTCAGAAATACTTACTGCCTCCTTTGATATAGCAAGGAAGGTGGTTAGAAAATGGCAAAATGATAGACTCCCCCACTGCTGAAAGTTCAATATGCTTCAGTGGTTTTTTTAAAATCATTTTTATTTGATTTTACAAATATAAGGTTATAACAATACCAAATACATATCCATATAAAGAGATTTTTCTGAAACTTTCGACTTTCCCCCATCCCTTCCATGGGTTCTAATGTGAACATTTTCACCTCCATATTATTTCATAATCTATATTTTATATTCAGCCATATTATCTATAGTACCTGTTATATTACAAGTGATATTAAAATCCTGCTAATGTTTTCCTCTGCTTACAGTGGTCTCCTAAGTAAATTATAATTTTTTCCCATTCTTTTAAAAAGTTTTTGTCTTCTTGGTTGCTGATCTTTCCAGTCAGCTTTGCCATTTCAGCCATAGTCCCTCAGCTTAATTTGCCATTCCTCTCTGGTCGGGACTCTTCTTTCCATCTCTGGGTTAGTAGCATCCATGCGACTGTTGTCATGTACATTAAAAGTATTTTCTGTTCCTGTGGTATGTCGGTACCTAAAATTCCTAATAGAAGAGCTTCTGGTTTTTTAACAAAAGTTCTTTTCAACATTTTTTCCAGTTCATTATATATTTCCCAGAAAGCTTTACCACATACGATAAAAGGTACCTTCTTTCTCTTTACCAGCTTCCTATGTTTCTATCTTGGTCTGCTTAAAAGCTAGGGCTGGGGAAATCTGTTTACAGTGGTGCCCCGCAAGACGAACGCCTCGCAAGACGAAAAACTCGCAAGACGAAAGGTTTTTTCGTTTTCGAGTTGCTTCGCAAGACGAATGTCCCTATGGGCTTGCTTCGCAAGACGAAAACGTCTTGCAAGTTTGTTTCCTGTTTCGTAAAACCGTTAAAACCCAGGGTGCATTGCTGGAAGAGGTGCAGTTGCGACTTGACCTCGAGGAGCAACACATTGCACGCGGTGTGGTGGCCTTTCTGAGCTTTTTAAAGAGTTTGCTGGATTTTTGAAGCTTTTCCAAAACTTCTTCTACAGCTGTTTGGTAAGTTGAACTTTTAAAACTTTTTTTGGGTTTTTGGGATTTTGGGTTGGGGTGTTTAGAATTCAAGGACTTGGTGTTGGGGAGAGGTTTGCAAGAATCTGGGAGCTTGTGTGGTTTTTTTCTGCATTTTTATGATTTTCAGACCATTGGGCCATGTTTATTTTTTTTTAAAAAAAAATCTGGCTTTGAATTTTTGAATTTCTGTGTGCTGGGTGGATGGGGGAACAGCTGGGGAGGTGTTTGCAAGAATCTGGGAGCTTGTGTGCTTTTTTTTGAATTTTTATGATTTTTTGTGACCATTGGGCCATGTTGTTTTTTTTTGAAAAAATTTCTGGGTTTTAAATTTCTGTGTGCTGGGTGGATGGGGGAACAGCTGGGGAGGTGTTTGCAAGAATCTGGGAGCTTGTGTGCTTTTTTTTGAATTTTTATGATTTTTTGTGACCATTGGGCCATGTTGTTGTTTTTTGAAAAAAGTTTCTGGGTTTTAAATTTCTGTGTGCTGGGTGGATGGGGGGAACAGCTGGGGAGGTGTTTGCAAGAATCTGGGAGCTTGTGTGCTTTTTTTTGAATTTTTATGGTTTTCTGTGACCATTGGGCCATGTTGTTTTTTTTTGAAAAATTTTCTGGGTTTTGAATTTCTGTGTGCTGGGTGGCTGGGGGAACAGTTGAGGAGGGGTTTGCAGGAATCTGGGAGCTTGTGTGCTTTGTTTTGAATTTTTATGGTTTTCTGTGACCATTGGGCCATGTTGTTTTTTTTTGAAAAATTTTCTGGGTTTTGAATTTCTGTGTGCTGGGTGGCTGGGGGAACAGTTGAGGAGGGGTTTGCAGGAATCTGGGAGCTTGTGTGGTTTTTTTTGAATTTTTATGGTTTTCTGTAACCATTGGGCCATGTTGTTTTTTTTTGAAAAATTTTCTGGGTTTTGAATTTCTGTGTGCTGGGTGGCTGGGGGAACAGTTGAGGAGGGGTTTGCAACAGTTGGGGAGGGGTTTGCAACAGTTGGGGAGGGGCTGGGGGAACAGTTGAGGTTTTTGAAGACTTTGGTGATTTTTAAAGCTTTCCCAAAACTTCTTTTGCAGCCATTTGAGGATTTTGAAGACTTTGGTGATTTGCAGCCATTTCGTAAGTTAAACTTTTAAAACTTTTTGGGGGTTTTTGGATTTTGGGTTGGGTGTTTGGAATTCAAGGACTTGGTTGTGGGTTTGAATTGCTGATTTTTTTTTTCTTTTTCTGAGTTTTACAAAGGTAACAGCTGTGCTGCCATGGGACCCAAGAAGACTGCTGCTGCTGCGGAGGCCGGCGAGAGGAAGAAGGAGAAGGTGACGCTGGAGATGAAGAAGGAGATCATCCGGAAGCACGACGGTGGAATGCGTGTGACGGACCTCGCCAGGGAGTACGGCAGGAACCCATCGACCATCGGGACCATCCTGAAGATGAGGGAGAAGATCCTTGCGACTGATGCAGCCAAGGGAGTCACCAGGATCGTGAAGAACCGCCCAGCTGTTCTGGAGGAGGTCGAGAAGTTGCTCCTCATCTGGATAGAAGAGAAGCAGCGTGCAGGGG